CTTTTCTGGCTTTTCTTTTCTATCATTCTTTTTGTATTCGCATTTGTGTTTAGCACTTTCTCTAATATCATCATCATTTTCATAGGTTTATAACCATTTAATGACGGTCTTAATTCTTCATATAATTCTCTTTCTCGTGCTAGTGCTTCTAATTGATTATTTAACTGTTTAGTTTCTATTAATATCATTTCAAAATTGTCAAAACCATTATTATCACGAATAAATTTATATACTGGAAAGTTATACTTTTTATCATTTGGATTATAACACCGTTTTCTATGACCTGATTTTCTTTCTTTAAAATTAGTTGTGTGTCCGATATACATATTTGGATTATTTAAATCTTTACAAACAATCTTGTAAAAATGTGTGGTTGAATAGTCTACGGGTTTTTTAGGCATAATAGTTTATTAAGTGTTATAGAAAGTTATTCTTTAAATATTAATTTATTTTAAATGCTTTCTCAAATCTGATGTAATACATCTTATTAATGTCTTTAGAATTCATATTTACATACATAAATGAATATGGAGCATCACCCACTGCCGTGTGATACATTTGTAATAATCTTTCTTTATCAAGGACTGCTGAATTTTCTTCTATGAAACTCATTAACTCACTGGCATTCTTCAACTTGAAAATATACAGTGAACTGGCATTTAACCTAATGATTGGTGCTAACACATTGTATTTTTGAGTTGAACAAATAACACTAATGGCATCGTGCCTACCTCTTGTAAATAAACCGTGTAATAATTTACTATATCTAACAAATTTAGTATCATCGGCGTGGTCATCAATAACAATAAGAATGGAATATAATTTCTTCATTTTAGTATTTTTCATATAATGTATTACTTTTCTTTGTGTATTAATGATATTTTCCAATTCTTCTGGTCGGTATTCATCAAAATATACTTGCTCTTTTGTATCATCCACCTTCATTTCTTCTCGTTGGTATTTCTTGACTTCAACAAAAGTAGGGTCATTATGGACGCTCGGGCTAAAAATAAAGATACGAGAGAAACAGTTTTTATATACATTTAATATCAAATTTTGAATTAGAACTGTTTTGCCACCCGTTGAAGAAGCAACTATAATGCTTCTAAAAGGTAGTTTTGGCACGTGCTCATATTTAGACTGTTTAAATTCATAGTCAGTTATGTTTATTGGTTTTATAATGGGAACTTCAGGCATAATAGAAATAATATTAAAGATATTTTGAAAATAATTTATATTTATTATTGAATGGAACATCTTTTTATGATATGCTGGTAGTGAATATCATAAAAACGGAACAGGTTTCCATTGCTTCAATCAGTAAGCATTGAAGCTAATTAGTTTGAATTAGTTTGAACCTCGCTTGCGTTGTCCAGTGCAATGAAAACTCCAAGTGCTGTGCCCCATCAATATTCTATTATGCATGAAATAATAAGATTAATTGTAAATAATTTATCTTATTATTTATATGACTATTATCCATTGCAGTTGTGGTAAAACTTATGATGACAAGTATTTATTTAAACATCTAAATTCAAAACATCATCAGAAATTTGTGGAATATAGATGGAATAAAGACGATACAATGAAAAAACTGTACAACTCTAGGAAAAAGAACCATTTTTCCTAGAGTTCTAGAACTTGATAGAACTTATCAAGTTCTATCAAGTTGTACAACAAAAGAAAGACAGACATGAAAAAATAATTTGTCTTATTATTTTATATGAATAGGAGTTATTCAAATGATATTGATATAATAAATGAAGTAGAAAAAGTAGAACAAGTAATGATAACTGATAGTAAAATAAAAAAATGTTGTTATTATTCATTAGAAATACTTAAGCTAGGACTACAATATATCAAAAATAAAAATGTAAATATTAATATAAATGGGAAGAAACAAAATCAAAAAGAATAAGACAGAACCAGCTGTTTCTTCATCAACAGATGAAGAAATTGTTAAAGAAGCATCAGTTATTGAGTTTGCTTGTCCTATGTGCAAAAAGATGTTAGAAATGAAAAATGAATTAGAAATACAAAAGAAAGGAAATTGTAAATGTTCATGTATTCCAACAAGTTTCAAATTGAGTAAACAAGATAAAAGGATGAATATTGATAAAACTAAAGACAGTATCAACTTAGAAACTGATGCTCATAACATTACATTTAAATGGGGTAAGGATGCAACACTCTCGGAAAATGGCGATAACGAAACACAGGAAGCTATTAAACAAATGATGAACAATTAGCATTTAAAGAGTAGATTTAACACCACTTCAAACGCATAAATAAATAAATAAATATATAAATATTTATATATATAGAAATGTCAGAAAATGGTGATTCTACAATTAACGATTTAATGAAAAAACTTGTAATTATTAGTAAGAATGTTAAAGCATTAACTGAACTTATTAAGATTATTGATGAAAAAATAAACCAACCTAAAAGCAATAACGAAGATGATAAGGAGAAGATGGATAAAATCTTTCAAAAGAAAGGATTAGGGCGTCCCTCAGACGACCATGAAACTAAAAGACAATCTTATTTTGAGATGGTGTCCAAAGGACGCATCAAGAACCCAAAAGAACAAACATTAGAATACTATAAAATCGCGAAAGATGGTGATGAATATAAATTTATGGATTAATATAATAAATATCTAAATCATTCTAATAAATGAATTTATTAGAGATATTTAGTGGAACAGGCAGTGTTGGACTTATTGCAAAGTCGCTCGGTTTTAATGTAATATCATTGGATTTAAAAAATGCTGATATTAATTGTGATATTTTGGAATGGGATTATAAACAATTTGACAGAAACCATTTTCAATTTATTTGGGCATCACCCCCTTGCACTGAATACAGTATTGCAAAAACAACAGGAATAAGAAACATTGAATATGCAAATAGTATTGTCTTAAAAACTATTGAGATTATCAAATATTTCAATCCAAAATATTATGTAATTGAAAATCCACAAACTGGATTATTAAAAAATCAGGAGTTTATGAATGAACTTGACTATTTTGATGTTGATTATTGTAAATATGGTTTTAATTATCGGAAAAGAACGAGGCTGTGGAATAACATTGATAAATGGAACCCCAAACCATTATGTAATAAAGACTGCGGTAAAGTTGTTAATAACAAGCATATTGAAACTGCACAACGGGCACCAAGTGGAAAGCGGGAAAGTTGGGGTGAAAATTATGTAAAGCATAAGCAGGAAGATTTATACAAAATCCCGAGTGAGTTGATTTGCGAAATCTTGGTGAGTTTGACGGATTAAGGAAAACGAGTTTGGGGTTGGTGTTGAAACTTGAAATTTGCAGGTTCGTCCAACGACAAAAGAGTAAAAAATATGAAATTTAAAATTTTGAAAATAATGATTTTTAAGGGGAGAAATCCATAGTTTATAAAATAGATAAAACACCAAAATTATATAGATATATCCGGAAACTCTTGCCAACTGCTCAATGCAAATGTAGCAATATGCTTGCGCAAATGGGTTTGCACCATAAGCAAAACATGAATACAAATTGGTTTGTGCAAATATGTTTGTGGGAACACCTGATGCAAATGTATTTGTGCACACCCAGTTTGCACAAGCCACTTCACCAACTGGTTATGTAAAAGTCTATTGTATTGTTTGTTGTTTGGTTTTTTGTTTGGTTTGTTGTTTGGTGGTTTTTTCTATGAGGGTCTTACCCCAGAGCAAAAATATTATTTGTGTCGTGAAACCATTTAAAGGGTAGATTGCTTATTATAGTAGAAGATTATGGAAAGAACATATTGCGCGTGTTGTGGATGTTATAAGGCAAGAGATTTATTTTCAGGAAGTTGTAAAACTTGTGATAGATGCCGTGAAAGGCAGAAAAAGAAAGACCAAAGAAAGAGACTGAAAAACGCGATGGATAAGCAACAAAAAGAATTAGAAGAAGGAGTAAAACAATATTGTTCACATTGTAAAATGAATAGAAAGATTGGGTTATTTTCGGAAAATCATAAAACTTGTGATTTGTGTAGAGAAAAAATGAAAATCCACTCACAGACATGGAGAGATAATCATAAGGAAGAGATAAGCGAAATAAACAAAGACTACGGCATGAAAATATTTGTGTGCTCTGTTTGTGATTGTGAGGTTAGATTGAAACATAAAGCGAGGCATGAAAAAACAAAGAAGCATATTGATAATTTAAAAAAGAAGGAGGTTGAGGATAATTGAAATGGTTTAAGTTATTCTTGAAAAATGAATAACTTGAAACATTTTATTAATTATTATATGGGTTTTGGTAAGTGGATTGATAAATTATGTTGGGCGGGATTTGGAAAAGTGGGTAGTTTGCTTGCGGGTAAGCTACTGCTTGCTAAAAGGGAGGGGTCAGTGTCTGATCCAGGCCCGCCATTTTTCGGCGGCATACCCCCCCCCATTTTGACAGTCGTGTTGACCCCCGATTAACCCTTGTTTCAGAATCATGGAAGGGGACAAGGAGGTGTTGGAGGGAGAGGGGAGAAAGAAACCAGTTGTCAAGCAGAGGGAGCATTTGGAAGAAACAACTCGGTAACCAGGGACCCCTTAGCAATAGCCATTGGTTCGCCAAGCCATTGGCCTGTTTGTTTGCCAACTACACCCGCGGAGAGAGAGAAAGAGAGAGAGGGTTTTGGGCACCTTTTGGTTGGCAAGGTTACCGGAGTTCCCGTGGTAAGGGGAGAATGCAGTAGGAACCCTGGAGAGTTCTTGCATACTTCGTGGGATGTTGTGTTTCGTTCGGGATGTTTTCTGTTTGGCGGCAGGTTCGTCTCGCACGGAGTTGGGCCACTGCATGCTTGTTGGTTCCATGCCAAACGCTTCCAAACCCTTGTGTCCACTTCTTTCCATTTCCAAACCCTGTTCCACCACTTTTTTCCAAACCACCCTGGTCCATTTTTATCTAGCGGTGGCCGCCGCCTGCTTCAACGCACAAGTCCTCCCATTCGCCGCCCGGGTGGCCGGAGGCGTGCGGATTTGTGCGCTGCTGCTGTCCCCGGTCTGCCCGGGGGTCAGCGCCAAGATCTGGGCAGAGCTGGGCCTAAACGAAGGCGCTGAAGGCGCTCACCCGGGAAGGGGGGGGGAGGCGGGGTGGCGCTCACCACTGGGGAGGGGGGGGGGCGGGCGGCGCTCGCTAATTTTCCTGTAACAAGGGACCCTCTGGTGGGTTCCCTGTTAGGGTGTAAAACGTTGTAAAACCAATTTAAGTCATTGGGTCGTAAACATAAAGAGAATAAAGGCTTGAAACATGTACATTGGGTCATGGGCTGTGTGCTACAAAGGCAAGGAAGCTCATGTCATGTCATATGACTTTTTGAATTGGGGCGGAGTTCTGCCATAAAACTCATTTAGGCCGTGAGAACTGGGGAAGAACCTTAGTAAGTTTTATACCCTCATATCACCCACCTGCCTCCCTTGTGCTACTTGTGTCCATTTCTTGAACAACACATGACAGGGCCTCAGAAATTTGGCTGCTCAAAGGGCATGGGGAGGGGTTCCCCATTGGCGGGCCGGCATTGGACATCGTTGTTGTTGGGAAACATTATTTTTTTGCTCCCCTTCCAACGTCAACCAAGTGGAGGAGGCAACTCAAAAGGGGGGCCGAGCTTTGAGAGGCATGGAATGGAGTCAGACGAGCTGGTGCTGGGATGCGCTCCTGGGCGAAGGGCTTTGGACTGGGGGGAAACGTTCAAGCATAGGTGTCATTTTTTGGTTGTTTCGGTGGAAAAAACAGATGGCCCTGGTTTACCTGATGGTTTAATCATCTACCAGGGCCATCTATTTGCCCTAAAAGGACACTTATGCCTTCAATGCTTTCCTTTGGTAAACGTAGCGGGTTAAATCATTAGACAATGGGGTTGTGGGGGGACTCTACTACCACATGTAGCCACGATCAGAAGTTCATATTGTAATTGTTTGGCCCGTAACCAAAGATCTTCGGGATTCGCTACTCAAGTCCGTTACTTGTTCCGCAACCCCTGGATAAGGTATGCAAGAGGCTACTTCAATGAAGGACCGTTGCCAAAGCAGCGTGTTCCCGTTTTCATGGGCCCGAGGTTCCCAGTTTTGGGCGGGGATGTTGCTTTCACTGGCCCAGGGTCAGACGACTTCTCATTTGCTTTTGTCGCGCCTCTGGCCACGACCTTATCAGTTAGACCGATGTCCGAGCTAGCGGTTGTCTCAGCTCAGGATCCCCGGCTTGGCCGTGCGGCGCCCCAGCGGGCTCTTGGGGGCTTCCATTTTGCCGACGCCTGGTGTATGGGTGTGTCCTCTTTTTTTTTTTTTGGGGGGGGGGACTCCCAAAGATGGGTGGTTTTCCTCTTTCCTTGTAAAACAAAAACGCACAAAAAGAAGGGGTAGCCTCAAAAAAGACACCCATATGGCACTACAGGGTTGTTCAAACTCAATCCTTTCCCTTTTTGGAGTGGCAAACTAGGGGTTCCGGATTAGGATTAGGGTTCCTAGCAATAGCTGAGGTAGTTGCCGCCCAACTGATCTCACATGATCTCCCGTTGTTGTGGTGTCGTTTTTGCTTCCATGGTGGGAGCGCGTCACGAAAAGGGAGCCCAGCTAGTGTGAAGGCCGTGCTGCTTTCGGCCAAGGGAGAGTCTCACGTGAGCCAGGGTTGGGCTGAGGCCTCGCTACATGTTGTAACCACTCAGTTTGGTTTTTGAACCCCAATCAATGGTTAGCCTTGCGTCCCCCAACCGGAACGAGCAAAGAGAAGCTCCCAGGCGGGCAAGAAGCCGAAGCCGGTCTTCCAGCGGATCGACGTGGAGCCCTGGAAGGGCCTGTGATGCGACTCCGATTTTCGAGGCGCTCTGGGATCGAAGTGAAGAAGTCTTGGGGTCCAAAGTGGTCGCGGAGCGCAGGGAGCGGCGAAGCGGGTCAGGTCCGGGCGTGGCCTTTCGCCGGGCCACGGAGGTGCGAAGCTCCGGGCGGAAAATGACCCCAACGTCGTGCATGTCAATAGCCCAACACCACCTCAGGCCTGTTCAACCGAGCCCCGGGCCAATACTCCTCCCAACCCATACATGATTGCCATGGCACCGACGTCCCCCCCCCCCGCTCCATGCTAGCCCCTGTGAAGGAGCCCAAAGAGCGGCTCTGAGTTTTCGCGCCGTTTCGTGAGCGCTGCGCGCCTACCGCGAGAAAAGTGTCGCACTGAGCGGGAAAGGGCCGGCCGTGTCTTGATGGTAAACACAAAAATTAAAACTGTGAATGTTTTTTAATGGACACCCAAAGGGATGGACAATTCGTTTTGTTCAAAGCCTCCTAATTTGAGCACCCAGGTATGTGTGTACACGTGTGTACATAGGCACTTGCAGTTTTTTGTTTTAGGCGCTGAGCAGGCCGGACCGCCCTTTAACGCGAAGAATTGGCCCAGACTGGCTGTTCCACCAGTGTGCAGTTTTCCTGTAGCACACCTCGCGCCACTTTTTGGGAAGATCCTTTGAGCGGCAAAAGTCCAGTTGCTTCCCCGACCACTCCGCTCCGCCCAGGGCCCTGCCACGGGATCTTGCGCCAATTTGCGGCTCCAGAGATTCGGGGAGAGGGCCGCTTTCGGTGGCGGAACGCCCGACGGCAGGCGAGAGTCAGGGGAATGGGCGGGGTCGTTGACCAGGGACAAGGGATCTGTGTGAGTCAGGAGCTGCGTTTGTGCGCTGGGGTTGTTTTGGCCCAGGTTTTGGCAATAGCGTCTCGGGTTCAAGGACTCCCACAGGGGTTGAGGTTTTCCCGATGGCCTGTCAACGTGGTTGCCATGCGTCCCAGGCCTAGGGAAATGCCTCAGCCGGAGGTTCTGGTCTTTTCCAGGGGGCCGAAAAAGCCATCAGCGGGTTGGCCCTACCTTTCGACGGAATCCCGGATTCCCCGCAAAAAACCCAAGCGGGAGGCACGGAGACCTCCGGCGGGGGGACCGCCGCACCGCCATGGCGGCGGTGGCCAAGCGTCCCCCGCTGACGGTGTCGCTGTTGTGGCGGGCGCTGCGTCTCGGCCGCCGATGGAAGCTCCGGGGGGGTTTTGGGGGGGTGTTATTAGACAAACTCCCAGGGATGCCCCAGTGGTACGGTGGATTCGCATGGCGCCTGTTTTTTTTCTTGGTGGGGGGGGGGGAGGGGGAAGGGTTCCCCTTCAAACTCAACCCACCAAGAAAGGGAGGCCCTCTTGTTTCCCGTGGCCACTGGTTATCTGAGATACCGGGAAGCAGGGATGCGGGCATACTTGTCGGGAAATATTTCCTTTACAGGGAATCCTCGCACATCCCTGCTTCCCCACTATCCCCACTAACTTGCTTTTTCAAGGGTAAGGGGCAATATGCAGCCGGCCCTTTTGAATCTTTATGGTTTTGGGGAGGCAACCCTTTGGTGTCAGGTTGCAATTGTGACTGCAGTGGGTTCCACCTCCTTTACCTATTGTTTGTGTTTGTTGAGGTAGCTGGCAGCTGGCACTGGGCTACTTTTAGCCAAGGTTTGTTTTCCGCTTGTCTTTCCCTTCCAAGCATGTTTGGTCCGTGGAGCCTCCTTGTCCGTCCCTCTAGGGCTGTAATGATTGAAATCAGGTTTGCGCATCCAACCAATCTAAGTCATGACCTAGTACATTTTAGCCCGTCAAGTTTTGCTGGCTTAGAACGGGCTCGGGGGATTCCCTGCTCCATGTTTGTGAGGGTAGCAATGTGCCAGAAGTCCAAAAAAGGGAGCCCCCAGGCCCCAGTGGGGCTGTTCTGCTCAAAGAAGCGAATATTGTCTACAAGGAGCCTTTTCGGCCCTAGGCGAGCTTCTTTAGGGCTGATGTTGGAACTCTAAAACACCATCACCTCCACCAGAGGAAGCCGAGCATAGGACACCCATGTTTTTAAAGAAATCAGAGTGGCTTGTCCTCGGAATGGAGATGCCTCGCTTGTCTTGTCCCTTGGGTTTCAATGTTTCGATAAAGAAGTCGTGTCTCAAGGCTGCGGGCGACATCCTCGAAGACGGTGTGGGCCATGCTGGCGGGGGGCGCCATGGCAATGCTGATCAGGTACCTGCAGGAGATGGCAGGGGCTTGTTTTTTGGTGTGTGTGTGTGTGCGCTTAGTATTTTTGGTTTTGTTTGATTGATTTGTTTGTACGTATGTTTGTGTTTGTTTATTTGCACTGTTTTTAGTGTGCGTTGTCTTGTTTGTTTGTTTTTTATGGGTCGGGTGTAGAGCTGTTTTGTTTTGTGGTTTGGTTTGTTTGTGCTGTTTGTGATGCTTCGGGTTGGGAGGTGGGAGTTGGATATTTGTGTGTTGTTTGTGGTTGCTTGCTTTTACTGGAAGGTAGGGTGCTAGGCTCGTTTGTGACGTCGAGTTGGGAGAGGAGGTGATTGATGATTTTCAGCTTTTGAATGGATGGCCGAGTTCCCTTTGTGTTGTTAGGTCGTATGCCATGTACTTTCACCCAGCTGTGAAAACATATGCTAGGTCCCCAGCAGTGCCCGTTTACCCCTTTTTTTGGGGGAGGGTTCCCTACTAAAATATACTACCGTGTTGGGTGCCCTTATTCTAACCTCCACTGGAGGACCTAGCATATCTGTGGAGCCAATTGGCCCGAGAGTTTATGGCCACCGGGCGGCTCCCGTTTTGGCAGGACATGCTTCGGCGGTTCCAGCAGCAGGAGGCTGAGTCGCTGTGGCGAAGGCACGTGGACCTTGGCGTGGTCCAGGCAGGGGGGCGGGCCGAGCAGCGCCTGACCGCCGCGGCTGGGGGAGTTGCGTCCAGAGCTGCCAGCAGGGAATCAACGGCGGTGGTGGGAAACGCTGCTTTGGGATCCCCAAGGAAAAGAATCAGGTAATGACCACTTCTGTGATACAACAGAAAAGGATTCCCAAAGACTAACCCCCCCATGTAAAGGGGAAGATTCCCTTGTATCACAGAAGTGGGGATAAACCCCTTAATCCCACAACCCTGATCAGGGATGGTTGGTTCATGGGGTTGTCCCCTCGTGTCCTGAGAAGCAGAAAGCGTTCGCCGCAAGTGTTCCGGAGGATGGCCCGGGCGTGTTTTTTAGGGTTTGGGGTTGGTTCGAAGCGAAACCAAAAGTAAGCAGGCCGGCCTGGGCGGCCTTTGCTTTGAGACATGTTGGTGATTTGGAGCCATGTTGAATTTGGGTCCCGAGCCATCTGTTTTAAGAATTCCCCCCCAAATCAAGTCAAGCTCCATGTTCGGAATGTCAGCCAAGCCCATACACCCCCCCCCCACCCCCACCCACCCCCCCAGCCACGTTTTGGGGGCTTCGCCGCGTCGAGCGAGGCGTGCCTCTTGACCACGGAGCACCTCAAATCCTTAGGCCGCGTGGAGAAGCGCACGCTCTTCGTGAAGCCCATCGCGGAGGCGCAGTTGCGCGCGCCCGCCCGCCCGCTCGCCCGCGTGCGTGCGTGCGTCCGTGCGTGCGTGCGTGCGTGTGTGGGTGGGTGTTCTTTTTTGTGCTTCGGGGTTCCCATGTCTTGTGCTTGTTGTCAGGGAAGCCAGCCAGTAAAAGGAAACCGCCCATCTTCGAGGTCCATCCTGTTTGAGACCTTGTTTTTCAACAGCGGCAGCTAGCATTGGTCTTTGCCGTTTGCTGAAGTGGACAGGCCTTTATCAGATGGTCTTCCAACACCCCGTCAGCATCAATGATTGGAAGGAAGCATTGTCCGGAAGCGCGGAAAGGGGCTCTGCTTGCCCGAGTATATCGAACAGTTACTCAGGTGTTGAACAGGTGAAACCACCCAGACTCACGGGACGTGTGCCAGGTGGCGGAGCTCACATTCGTTGACCCCCCGTTCGGAGGGGTACCCTGCCATCTAGTATGGAACCTGACTGGGGGTTCATGGAAGACTAGGTTTCCACCAGGTTCCAGGTTCCATGTAAATGGACGGGAGGGCCGCAAAAAAATACATACACAAACACAGACACACACACCAAAAAAAAACACAGGGGATCCGCAAACCAAGGGCCCCTCAAACCAAGAAATGGGGAGAAGCTGGCGCAGGTCTTCCGGAACGAGTACGTCTTGGCCAACGTGCTGCGAACGGCCGAGAAGGCTGTGGCCAAGAACGAGCCTTTCCTGGTGACCCACATGAGCCAGGAGTGGAAACGTACGGAGTCACCCAGCAGATGTTCCCTAAGCTCACTTGTCCGAAGCTGCCCTCTTGACCTTGTGTTTATCTGCATTTGGCCGTTTTTTAGTCAAGACTCCAAAAGGTCAGCCTTGTTTCGCAGGCCCTTCGGGCAAGTGAATAGTGGGGGAAACCTGGGAACAGTGAGCACTGATGCAAGGGAACATGATTTTGGAGCCCCAGCCAGGTTTCGTTTGAACTCCCCAAGCTTGGTTTGGGGAACAACCCTCTCCCTGAGACCAGCACCGTGCTGGATGGGGCGTAGGCTTGGGCATACCACCAACGGAACACTTCTCACACGAACTTTCAGCCAAGGAATCCATGCAAAGAATGTCGCTGCTGACCTGGAGGAATTGCATGTTGTTGAAAAACAGATGCATGGGGAACAGCCGCTCTTTTGGGTCCTCTGAATTTGCTGCGACGGCCTTGCCGCAAAGGATGCCTTGCCAGGTGAGTGGTGTGCGTTTGGTTGTGAATTGGGCAGGTGGCTGATTTTGGGCTGATCTTGTGATGCTTGGTGAAGATGATGTTTTCCTGACTCGGGGGTTGCCAAACTATGGCACCTTGTCTGGACCCTCTTGAAGAAGGTGGCACCTGATTTGGCCCACCCGAGCACTTGTCTTGCGCAATGCGGCACGGGCTTCTAGCCCTCTGGGCCCTCTGCCAGGAAGACAAGTGGCACGTGCTCACGACGTGTACCAATCACCTGAGCTCGTGCTTCGCCCCATACCACGTCTTTTTCAACGAGGCCCGGCGGGTAGAGTCCTACTACCAGCAGCTTGGCTGAGTTCTCGCGTTTTGCTGCTGCTTTCGTGTGTTTTGTATTGTTTTGTGCTCTGCTCCCCCGTTGTTGTTTTTTTTTTTCTTTCTCAAGGAGACCCCTTTCAAGGCTTCATGATCATGGATGGTTTGGATTGCAGGGAGCAAGGAGTGGGGAACAAGCCACAGTGTGCGAGGCAAAAAGCTGCTTTCAGGCACCACTGTCGGGCTTCAAAGCCCAACAAGGCCCCCTCAGCTTGCACTACTAGAGGCTAGCCTGAGACGCTGTAGGCGTCGTCCGCCTTCCACTTGCTTGAGCTGCAAGGTGTCGTTTTCCTAGTGAGACGCGAGTTTAGTACGGACGCTGGCTTCAAATGCTTGAAGAATGTTAGTGGTTGTCATGGTCAGCCCAGGTTGCAACCTTTGGACAAGACTCAGCAACCTTTGGACGGATTATCTGGCAGGTCACCCCATGAAGCTTACTTAGAGAACCCTTATCACCCAGAATTAGCTTGCAAACTGCAACCAGCGTTTGTTTCTCCAGGATTTTTTCTCACCAGCGCTGGCCTTTCTTCTTTCGTTTGATCTGTTCATTTGATATGGCTAGCTGCTCCCCTCCGTTCCACCCCCCCAAGCCACAAGGGTGTTTCCTAACATACCCTGGAAACCAGCCTATGTCGCTTTGTCCCAGTGAAATTCCAGAATCACGCACCTTAACATTTCCAGGCGTCCAAACCGGTCGCCTTGGATGGGTTCCACCTGCCGGTTTCAAGGAAGGAAGCCTGACTATGAGAAGGGCCCGCGTCCAACATATATATTACAGCTTTTCTAGAGGGATCTATGTGGGTTCCCCCTGAAAGGCCTTACTAACAAATCCATGCGCTTTCTTTGGCGGAGGGCCTTGGGCCATTGGGTGACGCGCAAAGGTCGGCCTGGTACGTGTTCACCCTGACCTGCGCCCAGACGGAGGCGTCGGGTCGGTGGTTCATTACGCCCCTGAAGCCAGTGGGCAAGCGCCTTGCTCTGACGGGTCGCGGGTGTGGCCGTTTTTACCACATCAACATGGTTGTTGTTGGGACACATTTTGCATTTGTGCGTATTGCGGTTTAGTGGGAACTCCCCACTTAACTGCTAAACAATAAAATGTTGGTCCCCTTCCAACGTCAACCAAGTCAAGTTGTAGGTTCGGTTGGGTTGGACCATGTTGGAGCCTTTTGTCGGGCTACCCGTTACAGAGCCTTTCACTTTTCCATATGTTCACCCATTGTTTGACATCCACAGATTTGGGGTTTCGTGACTTTCTAGAGCGCAGTGGCCTCCCTCGGGCGATTCCTGGGTGGATCATAAGTTTTCTAGAGCCGTCCTGGAAGCTTCCATGCAAATTGCCTGAGGGCAGATAACCACAATTTTTTGGAAACCACACTCGGACGGTTACCTCAAATTGGGGGATGTTTGTTGGCTCCCCAGTTTTGCGGGATGCGCCTCGGGACTCCACAAAAGCAAGTCTTGACAGGTGAATAGATGGACAAGTTTGAAATTATCAGGAAGCACAGAAATCCAAAGATCGGACCCCCCCCCAAAACGGGAGGTTTTGCGAAGCTTCCCTTTGGTTTCCCTAGCAGGGGACCCCTGGAGTCCCTAACCGGACTTAGGGATTGGGAAGTGAGAGACAGTTTCGGCCCGAAGTCTGTGAGTCGTCGATTCGCCGGGCAAGTTTTGGGCTTGCTTGCGGTAATGACTCAGTAATGAGCAGGTCCCCCAGTGGCCTTTTACCCTAGAGAAAACAGGGTACCCTTATTCTAACCTCTCTACTGGAGGACCTCGATGATCTGACTCCCGACTCGTAAACTCCCCTTGGTTGCTTGACGGGGGTATGGCGTCCCATTTCAGAGGCGATCCTTCACTTTGGGGGGAACGACCCCCCACAAATCCTCAGGGTTTAAACAAATCCGGGGGGTCAACGCTACGCCCAAGGAACGACGTGGGCATGCTGCGGATACGGATCCTGATGATGAACGAGCAGGAGCTACGAGACATCTCGCTCCTCGATTAGTCAGACTGCCCCAAATGAATCGACCGGAGCGAACCTTTTGGTTTCCCCGTTTCTTGGGATCTACTTTAGTCCAGGTCCGAAAGATGAAGCTTTGAAGTCCAGCCGGGGCGGAGGCTGCTCTTCCCAAGTTTCCGAACGAAGTCCGTTCGGGGAAGACCTTTTAGTGGTAAAGAAGCATTGTAATCTTCCATTTGCTTTAGAATACGCTTGATTTTTCCATGGTAGTTTTTTTCAGGGGGACCCATCCCTACTGGACATATTTCATTTTTTCTGGGAGATTTGAGCAAATGGAGGTAGTTCTTGGTTGGCCAGGTTTGCTTGGCGATGCCACCCTGGATGTCAAGCACTCGCGTTTCTGATAGCAGCCGGCAGCCTGAGCAAACGGTGCCGACCCCTTGAGCTTCAGTCGCCCCTAGCTGGCTTTCCCGGGAGAAAGTGGACACAGAATCGACATAATATTGACTGTCATGAGATGAAGAATTACGCCCAGCTGGCTGCAGAAGCCGCTGCTAGATGCCCAATGTCATTCTGAGTGGGCTTGCAATTTGTCAACCAACAGGAGCACATTGTAAGAAAATCGAGACATTGAGAGCTGCAGTCTAGTCGGCATGTTTACCACATGCCCCCCCCAAATCCATTGCCAGACTGAAGACACATTTCCCTTGTGGGTTACCTCATGTGGATTTCCCTTCCTTGTTGAGAACCCTTCCTTTCCCTCGTGCCAACTAAAAGCCCACCTCCCTTCCACTGGCATAGCGCCTGGGAGGGTTCCTGGAGCATCATTTTCCTCCAGGCACCTGTCAGATGCCATGTTAGTGGGAGCGTCCTCCAGAAAACCCCCCTGCGAGCGAGGGGAACCCGGCTCCATGGCGCGAAGTGGGCCACTCCCAATGGGTCCAGGTCTGGGGCGATCGAGCCCCCGAGCTTCGGGTTCTTCAACGGCCGCCACGCCACTTGACGCGCTCTCGCGCCCACGCGCCAGCGCGCAGGGACGGGGGTGGCCTCATGTGGCGGTTGGGTCTGACTGCGAGTCGATTTGGGGAGGCCTTTTTGGTTTCCGATTTTTTTGGCTTATGTTTTGTTGCCAGGGCCTTAAGAATGCATATGCCTGCTCTTTTCTGGTCTTTTGGGAGGGTGTGGGGCTATGCATTCCAACTGGGGTACGGTTGGAATGCGTCGACTGCTTTCCATGCCGGAACACCAACAGCATGGCTGGCCTCTTGGCGGCTGCCCCTGAAACAATACACGTTTGGCTTCTACCGCCGGTGGCAGGATGGACTTCTTGAAGCCAAGTAGCTTCGCCCAACGATGCAGTAGGTTTCGGGCTGCTACTGCGACGCGCCCCCGCTTGAAGGGATTCGCAGGGGCAAACGGGCACAAGACAACCTTTCCTGTGGCGCCTTGAGCATGGTTGCGACTGCTCCATCCGCAAAATCCATTCTGTTGGCTTCCCGTTTTTCCGGTTTTGATCACGGGGTCCTTAGGGGGAGGGGCGCCAAGAATGGACGGTTCAGTGAGGAGGGCGAGCATCAGTTTTAAGGCCTCAAACCAAGATCCAAACCCCTCTGGTGTTTGAATCAACATCCTGCGCTTGGGACGGAAGACACTTTCTGAACCCCTATGCATACCACCCACCAGCTGTTTTTTGGGCATACCCCATGAATACCTCCTCCCAGCTGTTTTTTTTTTTTTTTTAATGGGGGGGGCATACCCATGAACATGGTTGTTGTTGGGAAACATTTTGCATTTTTGCTTGTGGTTTAGTGTTTGAAATCCCCACTGAACTGCTAAACATATAAAACAAGTTGTTGCTCCCCTTCCAACGGTCAACCAGGTCAAGTTGTAGGTTCGGTTGGGTTGGACCATGTTGGAGCCTTTTGTCAACCAAGTGAAAAGACGGGGGGATACCTACCAGGTTACCAACCGGCATCGCCTTCCGCCTTCCGGCCTTTCGCCATGTCGAGGAGAGCCGGTGGACCACCTGCCAGCGCTTCGCCGAGCTCTTCGGGCGCCAGCTCACGCGGGTGGCGGGCACCGACGACGTGGGGGGCGCCGAGTGGGGGCCCAACCTCTGCGGCCGCCTCTCGAATTCCAAGCGCCTCGGGCTGAGCTATGCTGAGCTGTCTTCCGGAAAAGCTCTTGGCTTTTGGTTTGGGTTGGTTTGGCTGCTGAGCTTGAGCTTTCCGGAAGCTCTTGGTTTTTGGTTTTGTTTGGTTTGGTTTGGCTGCTGAGCAAGCTTCCGGAAGCGTTTGGTTTGGCTTGGTTTGGCTGAGGTGGGGATGCGGGATTTGAGGCTGCTGCTGGGTGGGAGGCCTCCGTGGTCTCCAAAACCAACTTTGCTTGATCTTTTGCTTTGGAGGCTGAGCTGGGAGGCCTCTTGGTGTCTCCAACCCCCAAACCAAAAGTTATTTGCACGGCCCATCTGTGATTTGATATTGGTGCAGACGGCCAAGTTTTTGAGAGGGACGCCAGAAAGACCTTCTTGCTGGGTGATGTGGGAGCCAGGGAGCCCGGGCCTGTGGAGCGGCAGTGTTCGGGTTAGGTCCCTCAGCCACCCCGGGATTCGCAGCGACTTTCAGGGTGTTCGTTGTGGGTTCCCTTGGTTCGGTTGCAAATGCAAAGGCCCCTGATTTTGCTCTTGGCTTCCCACTGTTTAGAGGGTGATTTTGGGAAGTTGCCTTGGGGGGTGCGCTGTGCATCGAAAGTGCCTTGTGTGTGCATGAGCGCGAGTCTGCGTGCATGTGCGGGGCGTGTCTTAGCTATCGTTGGGGTAGTGGTCACTTTCTTCAAGCCTTGTCAACTTCAGCACGCTATGAAGGAATATTATGTGTATATATGCATATATTATATTTATACATTCAGCCATGTATATCTATACATGTATAGATACATCTTTTGCCGTGCGTCGGCGGCAGAGATGCTTCCATTTGCTTGGTTGCATGTTTGTTTGTTTGCGTGTATGCGCAGGTGAGATTGTGTGTGTGTGTGTTTTGCTAGTAGTTATGTTGTCTCTTCTCCGTTTGCCGGTTGCTACCTGCTGTTCCATGAGCTCTTAACTTTGAGCGTGTGGGTCCAGATGCTCTTTAATTCAAATTCGACCTGTGCACCCCCCGCGCGCTCCAGCCGCCAATGCCTTGCTTGTGCTTTAAGCATGGGTTGTTTGACCAGTTCACTTGCTTGACTCCTGGTTGTGGTATGGATTTGTCTCCAGCCTTGTTGTTCCATGAAACATGACAACCACCTGGGGTTACCTTAAGGAAACCTACATTTGCTTGGCAGGGGGCTGTGCTTGGGATGGTACATGCGCCCGTCTCACGAGGAAGAAGGGCTCCAACCCCTTACTGTCCTCGATGGGTGCCTTGGGCAGAATGGTACATTTCGCTTGGTCAAAAGTCGGCCTTTGTGGGTTATGGGGGTTCGCCAAATTCAATTCCTTCGGGTGGAGTTCGCTATCGCCATTTGTAAAGAATTGATTGGAGAGTCGGTTGTCGGCGCTGGGTGGGCGTGCCTCTATTTGGCTGCCCTTGAGGAACGCATAACTTTGGCAAACTCATTTGGAGCGCTTCGGCCGTGGTCCTTTGCTTCTGGCCCCTTCCCAGCCCATGAAACTGGAAACAGGAACCTGGGCAATCTCGTCGGTCCATGCCTTTTTGGCCCCTTCTGGGCAACGTCATGTTTTGAGCCCAAATGGGAGCTGATTAATAACGGGGGGGTTTCTGTTATTCAGGGGGGCTGGCCTCGAAGGGAGAGAATACATTTTGGCGGAATCACAGATTTTGGAGGGGTTTGAAAGTGGCTTAGCATTGGTGGGACCAAGTGGCTACTAAGCAAAAAGGACAGTTTCTGGCAAGTATTTTGGCTTGGGCTGCAGGGGGTACCTTTAACCAGCGGGGTTTTGGGGAGGTCCAGAAAATGATTGGGTGCTCAACGCTGGTAGTGGTGGGATTCTGGGGGGCAAAAGGGGAAACATGGAAACCTTTGTTTGGGGGAATCGTGCAATGACATCATCCCTAGTGGTGGTTTGGGTGGTTTGGGTGTTTTGGGGCGGCTTGGGGATAGCCAGGGCGATTTGACAAGCAACACCAATAGCCTCCAGTTCGGAGTGAGGTGATCAATTGTCTCAGGCGGAACCCCGGATGACTTTCAGGGATCTCAGAACATGTCTAAGACTGCCTCTCTTAATCAACATAGGGGGTGATTCAGCTCAATTTCTCCCAACCACTCCCCCCCCCCACCCCCCCCCCCCCCACACAACCCCCCCCTACCGGTGCTTGGGTGTGATGTTCTTGCGATGTGTCCGAGGCTCCGGGCCGCCGGAGCCGGAGGAGAACTGCATCCTGCGGATCCACGTGCCCTTCCCCGCGGGGAAAGGGGGCGGCATCGAGGAGTCGGACTCCCGGCGCCTGGAGGAGGGAGGGACGCGAGGGACCGGTGCTAGAGGGGGGTTGGCCATGGGTGGCGCGTGGGGCCGGCTGTAGGAGACAGGTTTTTGGGTTTAGGGTGCGTTGTAGGATTTAGGAGGAAGGCACCCCTTGGAAGTGAACAAGTCGTCATGGTTGGATGGAAAAAGGGCACTTTGTCATCACAAGGGTTACTCCAGCCATCCTCCAGGAGTGCGTGTCCAAGGACGTGGTCCTCTTCGAATAAAAGCGCCTGGGCGGACACCATCTGGCTATGTGGGTTCTGAAGAAACCAAAGCGCGCCTGGGTGAAGCAAAGCTTCAGTGATCCGAAGCAAACCGACATGTCAACTGTTTTCTGATTTCCCTGTTTAGGTGAGTGTTTCTTTGATTTTTCAGGTATGTCGGGATCCGTGCGCACCCCTAGACGAATGTTTTCCCCAGGAACCCGTGCTAAAGCAGATTTCCTGGCTCAAGACTGCTTTGGCTTCCCAAAGCCTTGAGTAGGGTAGCCAAGTGATGCCACCGAAAGAGGAAGCAACAAAAGCCAAAGTGAGGAAACACGGAGAAAAGCGGAGGACGCTAGTCAGGATCTGGAGTTTGACATGGAACAAAAGATCACAATAGGGGCCGACATATTCACATCAACTGGCAACACAAATTGAGCTTCATGTGTTTGCCTTTGTTTAGGAGTTTAGAACTAGGTGTCACATCATTTGGGGAAAGGTCGGCATAAGTTGAGTTTCCTTCTTAAGGGGATCCGGACACATGAGGATCTCTGGAAAATCAGTATCAGCTTAAAACGAAGGTGTGGAGATTGCACGCGAACCTCTATCATTTGCATTAGCTGGTTAGCGGAAGGAAGCCACCTTTCATCATTAGAGGAATCTCGATTTACCTGCGACTTGTTTGATCCCCTTTTCAAACATCTTCGTTTCGGTGTCTCTTGAAGAAACATGGCCGGTGCAGCCACCTGTTTTGTATTGGTGGTGGGCTGGTTGTTGTTGAATTGATCCGTCGCATGTGTTTCTCGAAGATAGGAGTCGTCGCCTCGCCAATTTTTTCCACATGTATTCAGGCTGTACCTGTTGGAGGTCCGCGCGCAGGGGTGGTCTCAGGGCCAACGGGCATGTCTCAGCTGTCTGCACGGATGCCTTGATTTGTGTGCATTGGGCCCAGTAAAGAGGGCATGTCAGGGTTCTCCAGCATTTTTGAAAGTACCTTTTACTTGGACTGCCATTGGAGGGTAATGGATGTCATGAATGGACCCAATGCCAAGAAACGCACGCCTCCAGTTCAACATGCAGCCCAACCAAGCTTTTGAAGCACCTTCGTTTGATTGGTGAGCTGCCACCTGACTGACTTATTTGTAGGGCTTTCAACCGCCAGGTTCCCTGCCTCAAGTTTTGCTAAACAAATTGCAAGGGCCCCGGTTTCCTTGAGGAGCATGAAGCAAATGAGACCCTTCTTGATTTCCGCCTGTTTCCATCTCAGGCGGGACGAAAACCGCGTGGTGGAGCGCGCTTTTCCGCGCTTGCTGCGCGAGCGCTGCCCACCGTCGCATTGGAGTGGAACTTTGCTTGCCAAAAGGGCCGTTCGGGGGCTGCTGGGCTGCTGGGCGGCGGGGCTTGGGGGTGGGGGAGGCTTAGGTTTTTTGCCAGAAACAGGGGATATCAGGGTTCAGGGGGGGTACCTTCCACGACAAGATTTCAATAACAGCGACAAAAAACCAACAAGAAAACCACCAACCTCGTCCTAAGGTCACCTTTTGGCCACCCCCCACCCCCCCCAGAGCGCTTTTTGGCAGACGTGGACCAACTCCTCGCGCTTGGAGACGAGTTGCCGAGGAGCCATGGCTCAAGTCGCCGCTGCGCCCCGCGCCGCTGTTCCGGCGGCCCCGCCTCTTGCCGCGAGGCGCGGCGGAGCGCGGCGGGCCGCGGCGCGCGGGGGTTGGCATCAAGGGTGGTCCTTGATTTAGAGAACCGACAGGTTGAAGATATGTTTGGATTTTCCGGAAGTGCAGGATCTGAATTCGTTTTTTTGCTTGGGTGCAGGCGCCCTGGCTCGTCCCGAAAAGGGTGGCAAAAGGACAGCCCTTGGTGGACGTGTGCTAACCCAAGCATTCACGGGATTGCGGCTAGTGAGCGGGTCTCATCACCCGAAGCCGCACCGGAGCTTTCTTGCATGGTGGCACGTGCGGGATGCACTCCATCCACTCTCCTTCTTGCCATAGTTGAAGGTGTTTGTTGGAAGGCTTGTGTGAAAAACAGCAGGTTGATAGCAACTGAAAGCGGATGTGGGATGTCTTGTCATTGTTTGAGGGTGCCTTTGTTTGGTTGAATGGCTAATGGGAAGATGAAAAGACGCAAGCGGATTTTACGGGTCCCCTATTTGGAGACAATCCTAAACGGCTATCCCATGTTATCCCCCAACTAAATGATCATCATGCCTTCTGTTCAAAAGACCCGGGGGAAGCTGCAGCAAGCGCAGTGGTTTACCGTTTTGGCATATGGATTGCGGTGCACTGGGTGGGACCTGCCAGTTGCAGATTTGCAAAGGCCCCATCCCTTGAAGAGCCTCAGTGGATTTCAACTGGGTGCAAACCAGTTTGGGTTCGACTCATGGGGGTCCCCGACCCCAGCGCAGGCGGCCCCACTGGCATGGGCAACGGGCGCTGTCCCAGCGCCAGGCGACGGATGTGGACGCTCGGGTCGACGCTCGGGTCGACGCTCGGGTCGACGGAGGTGGACAGGGTTGCCCAGCGACGGGGGGGGGGGGGATGTTTTCAGCCCAAACGCCAGGATTGCGCCATCATGCGCCATCGACTTTCACCCAAATGCAACTTCAGACGAATTCGGCGGATGCGAATGAGAGTCCCCACAAAGAATCCAATGGATTTCCCTCTATAAAGGGAATGATCCGAAAGTGGCAGTACTTCTGTGGGAGAATGCGGTGCGATGCGTCGCGTAGCTTGCTGTACCTGTAAAAGACTGGCAGGTCTTGATATGGTATCGGACAAAGCCCCCTAGGTGGATCCGCTTGGCAAAGAAGGTGGCAAAAGGACCGTCTGGTACAGTCGGGCAACTTGAAACCCAATAAGGGTCCTTTAGAAGGATATTCTAATCGAAACTGCGCTGCAGCAAGCTCTCCTGGAGATGAATTAGGTCACCCTGTCACCCATGAGTAATGCCCCTCAATTTACTTGCATTGTTTCGTTTCTGGTTGGTGAATTGCGGAAGTGGGTGAGATTGCATAGTGGTTTTTCGGGCTGCGCGTTAATATGCAGGATAATGCAACCAACTTTCTCAGAGTGTGCACAAACCTGTTCCATGCGCCTCGCTACCAGGACGCTTATCGTACGAATCCCTGAACACCCGAGTCCATGCAACCATCCATTTGGATGCAAGTCCTGTGCATGTCGGCAGAGAAAGCCCGTGGTGAAACATTGGCGTGGCCAGACCTTGAATCAGTGAAGCTGGGAATTGTTTCACATTTAGGGCGAAACAGAGTCCGAACATATTATGTTTGGCTCAGGAAAGGGGGGAAACTCAAACGGCGATCCCGGACCCAGACGAGGCGGCCGGCCTCACCGCCATTTGCTGCGTTGGTGCCTTGAGGCCTCCGGGAAGCGACGGGATTTGGCTCATTGGTTTCGCAACAAGGCGCTTACATTGGCACCAGGGAAGGTAACCTGATTGTTAAAGAGGATAGGCACCTGGTAGACCAGCTTGAATCCACATTAGATTCGATCACAGTCTATGGTTGATTTGGGGACCGCACCAATTGTCCCATGATTCTGACTTCGTGTCGCACATGGGTGGCCCGCCAGCCATGGGGCGTCCAGTTTGGGTTGTGGCTTTTTTGTTGGGAGGTGCCCTAGTTTTGACCAGTGCTTCTTCTACGAGTTCCCCACCTCTCAGCTCCAATTCCGCCCGCCCAGAATGGGTTTGGGGGGGTGGCTTCTTGTGCATCCAGGGAGGGAGCTCCAAACTTGAGTTTTGCCGGCTGTTTGGCAACTTGTTGCTACCTGCGCCGATCTACTTCGTCTCTAGTCCAAAGGCACATCACTTCAGCCGATGCCTCCCTACAAACTCACATGGAATCCAAAACGGTCGATTTTGTGGAACCAGATGTTTGGGAACCCCTTGCTGGAGTCCATAGATATCTTTTTGAAGGCTTCAGGCATCGTTTATGGTGCAAAGCAACCTACATGGGACTATGTCATGTTTGAAGGCTGAGGTGTTGCCCCCTTTTTCTGCAGCTAGCATTGCAGATGTTTAACGAAACCCGACATGCGCCAAGCGCCAGCCAGCCGCTTATGAACCCCAACGACCTCGCACCCCCACCACAAGCACCCTTGCGCGCAGGCGAGCAGCAGGCGGGGTCGATTGGTTTAGCTCAGGGCCCCGTATGTTTCCACATTTAATGATTTCAAGCATTACATGTTGGGCCCATTTGAAGGGAGTTTGCTTGTGGAGTGCTGATGCTTACAGGGAAATACATGGAGCCTTATTTGCTGAGTCAAGTGGGAGCACGGAGAAAGGCTGAAGAGACTTGGTCTCCTGGCTATATGCCCCACCCCGGGTGCTCGCTCACCCATGAAGGGGTTTGGTTTGCGCACGCTTCCCGTTTGGCAAGTCATTCCGTTTGGCCGGGTGTGAGGGAAATATTGCGTCATCATGGCACCTCCAGGAGCGGTTTGGAAATTTGAGGCTCAAGGCTCTTCCAGGAATCCACGGCAAAAACTTGAAACAAGTGGTTGAGTGTGTGTGTGTGTGTGTGAGGCTGCGGGGCTGGGAAAAGAGTTGGGAGATTTGTTTCTCTTTCCTCAGGTCCTGCTTCCCATGTCCTCATCCGACTTGGCGTGTCAGGCGGCAACTCCCGCCGCAAGGCCTGGTGCAGGGTAGGCAGATCTCGGATGGACAAGTGACAACTCGAGCTCCAGTGTTTTCTTGTTGGTTCCCAGCCATCCCCTTAGGTTTTTAGCCTTTTAGTGTTTAGTGGGGGTTTCCATCTAGCCTACTAAAAGTTAAACTTGTAGCGGGGGCTCTGAGGACAGCCCAGTTTTGACTGCTTCACCCGTAGGAGGTGAGAGAGAGGGCCGGGCCTCGACCGCTTGGCCTGATGTCGCCAAAAGAAGAGACATTGGGCCAGCACTTCTCCACACCGTTGGTCCGATTAATCCTGGAATGCTTCCGGAACTCCCGAAATCCTCTCAGCCCTCGTGACATTCTTCTGGGACCCTGGAATCCTCAGTACCAATTCTAAAGTCGTAATTAGTGCCAGAATGCTATAGAAAGTAGTATTGAATGTTTCTAGCCCCACTACCACGGGTAGCGTTCCACATTCTTTTTGCAGACGCTTTTTTTTCTTTCCGTGGGGAGCTAACCACCTCTGATTAGTGAACCTCCCACCCTGACACGGTGGACAAAGGTGTTTGAGAGTGTTTTGCCCAGCTGTTCCAATATTGGTGGGATTGCCGGCCCCCCCTTGACCTCTTGCAGTCGGTGGATCAAAAAGTTAAGGTTACTGGGGAGAGACCAGGCAGTCAGGGCCAGAAAGCCCTCCACTGGAAGCATCAAGTTCCATCCAAGACCCTGAACTTGCATTGCAGACCGGTAGAAGCCACGAACGTCAAGTCCTCCGCCCAGTTTCGGAGCGGAAACAGCGTCGACAACCGGACGGCCTAGTATCGGGTTGTTAAGCTATATGCCCCTGCCGCGAGTGTAACGCGTACAGGAGGAGCAGTGTGCAGGGCACGTGCTACTGAGCAATCGGTTGGATGAAGCATGGCAGCTAGCGTGTTGGCTATCGGCTGGCAATCAGTTTGATTCTTGGTTCTGGTCCTGTAAATGTCTGGTTTCGGAAGCTTTGCTGGTGTTATGCATCCAGTGCAGGTTGGCAGGGATTCGGTTCGGGGTCAAGAAGCGCAGGATGCTTTTTTGGCCATTCTTGGCCAGGTTCTGCGTCGCGCGGAGACGGGCGATGAAGACGCAGCGCCGGCCTGTTGGCAACTTGGGCCTTTCAAATTTTTTGGGCGATAAAAGACGAGTCCCAAGCATGCGGTTGGGACCCTTAGAGCCTTAGACCCCATGATGGAACGCATGTGGAGGTTCCAATCACAGATCAGCTGTGGGGCATCCATTTCTCGACGTTTTATTCTGGCCAGCTCATCCAGAACATTCGGGCAGTGATGTCCGACAAGGAGGTGGTCCTGAAGGAGAATCGCTCAGAGGAGCGCGAGACGCGACTCAGCGGGAGTTGAGTGGAGCTCGGCCGGGCTCGCGCTAGGTGCCCAGCAAGGGTTTTGAGCTTGCTGCGTACATAAATTGGTGGTTCAGTTCACGTGAAATAACTTGCCTCAAAAGACGAGGCCATGCCTGTTGGGCTATTTGATTGTCCACGCCCGGCAGGTTCAGCCGCTGTGGCCAATGTCAAGGAATGAGATCTGCGCGTAGCCGAAGTTTGGTCAAGATGTTGGGAAGCTGCAATTGCCTTCGACAACCTTTCTGTTTCCCTTTTCATCAATGAACAGCGCCCAAACCCCCCATTGACCCTGTGGGAAGGTGGTTCTACTACCTGATTGACTTCGGGTTTTAGCAAATCCTGGATAATCCTTAACCAAGTTGGCGCCAAAAGTCCATGGGTTTGCGGGCGCTCAAATGCAACAAACCCGGGAGCTTCGCCAAGGGAGCTCCAGAACTTTGCCAAAGAGTGGCTGGAGGAGCAGGGCATGGACTACGACGCCTCGTCGGGCCCTCGGGTTCTCGGAGAGAGACTGAATGGGGACGTGGTGAGCGAAGGAGACGGCCAGGTGTGAGACCGGCTGTAGAAATGGCAGATGTGGCATGTGTCGAATAAATCTCACAGACAAATGAAGCAAGTAACTGAGGAAGCAGCCAATTGGCTGATTGACAGGCAGAGAAACTGATTGCGTGACCAGCTGGGAAGATCATGGAAACCCAAGGGGCAGCGGGCCGCATTGCCTTGAACATGATCACTAGGCGGTCATGAGTCTGAGATGGGGCAAGAGGATTGCTACCCGTCGTTGCAAGACACCCGGCCATGAGATGCATATTTGGCAAGGGAGCAGACTTGTTGCTGTTCGTTTGTGAGACTTCCAGGGCACGCCCCTCGAAACGGTCCCAGCAGGGGTCCCCCAACGCAAAGGAGTTGCCACTTGAAAGCCCCCCAAATCACAAACCATCATGGACCCGCATGATTCTAAATCAAAGCCAGCCATGGGCTTTTAGGATACCACCACTGGGTTTCTCGAACGGCCCTCTGCCAGGAGTTTGAACGTCATCGAGGTGAAAGATAGCTCCATGAAGGAGGATCCGGAGACAAAGTATCGCACGGACAAGACGCTGCTGGCCTGACATTATTTGTTTGCATGTCCGTGTTGTTGTTTTGGGTTTAGGGCGTCGGGTTTAGGGTCTATGCTTTGTTTAGAGTTGTACGCTCTCGACCGGAAAATGTTGTTTGTGCTTTGGGTGGAGTTTGTTCGGAAGTTGTTGGTGCTGCTGCATTGTCTTTTGTTTCACAAATCCTTGAGTGCCGTGTTGGCTAAGGCCGGGGGCTGTGGCACAGTGGGGAGGGTGGGGAGCAATGAAGTGGCTTTGCATCACTGCCAAAGCATTGGGGGTTGACTCCCCATCACCCACGAAGCGTGCAACAACCCGGCAAACCAGGTCCCAACAGCAGCCAGATACGGGCAGCTCCTCGCTTTGTCGAAAGGCAGAGCGCATGGCCCTGCCTTGGAAGGAAGATCGCGTTGCTGAGCACACATCCACCTTGCGGGAAGGGAGAGGAAGCAAATCCTGTCCACGGCATGCAACCTAGGCGAGGTTAAGTCTCTTAGCCTGACTCACAGCACGTATAGTGCAAATTAATCAAGCCTAATAAGGCCTTGCCAAATCAGAGGATGACTTCAACACCATGTCCAACCTTAGCTAAAGTCCCGTGAGCCCTTGGTGTTCTCGAGCTACAGTGAGCCCGAGCCCAACCCAAAATTTGAGCAACCGCCCAGGCTGATGATGGAGACCTACGACCGGGGGGAAATTCAGCTCATGGAAAAGACCTGCTCGGAGCTGAGTCAGAGCAGTTTCTCCGGAGTTTTTTCGGGTTACCCTACCACCAATGAACGTGGAACCTGATCCCTTTGGCAAATGCTCTTCCAGGACCCCTTTGTCAGGTTTCATGTCAATTAGTTGGTGGGAGGGTACATCTGATTGCGGAGTTTGCGAACGTATGCATAAGTTTGTACATGTATATTTTTACATTGAGTAATATTTATGTATGATGATGAGCCTGTGGTCCAGTCTGGCAAGTTCTTGTAGTTTTCGGCACTTTATTTCCCAGGTTTGTACCAGGGCGCATTTTTGCCCGGAAAAGGGACGGAGCCGGACCGCTTCACCTGTTCACACGGGCGTGTTGCATTTTAAAACGGATTGAATTGGATGTTCCTGTTTGCTTGGCCAATGCCCCTACAATAAAATGCAAAATACCCACACCGAAACAAACCTGAGCAGGACATCCTGAAAGGCAATGATCGTTGCACATGGTTTCATATATGGGACTCGCGACAATGTCCAAAACTTCCCTGTACAACGAAGTTTTCGTGTAGAAAGGAGTGATGTAATCTTCCTGATCAATGCCCTTGCCGCTTCCATTAATTCAACAGCTTGCCAGGCCTTCCCGCGGGCCTAGCTGGCTGGCCCCGGCCCTCCTGGCAAGAGCATGTCCTGTTGGCTGACTGTTGAACAGAAGCCTTCTCAGCATATGGGTGTGACTTTGCAGGGAGGCCAACAAAAAGGCATGCCGCTTGTTCGTGGAACTGTCAACCGCAAACAACTTCTTACCCCAAAATTGTCAACCCGCCAATATGCTAACCCCAATTCTTTGGTGCATTTTGCTTGGATGTTAGGACTTTAACTTTTTGCCAACTCATGGGTTTTCCAATAAAACCACTAAAAGCTATTCGCTTTTAGCGGGGCTTCGCAGATTTCGCCACCGAGAATTGCCGTGAATCCCAAAACGGGCCATTTTCGGCACGGGTCAGTCACGGCCTGGGTCCCACGCCGTGAGGCACCGATCTGCTGGCGGTGAAGCCCCACGACGCGGAGGTGTGGCGCATGCGCACCCTCGGGCGGCTGCGCCTGAAGCCGGGAGACCCAGGTCCAGCGTGTGGGGTGTGAGCGGGGCGGTTTGAAGGGAGACCGGCATGAAACAGACAGTTTTCGGGCATGTTTGTTTGTTGGTTTGCTTCTTTGTTTCTTTGTTTGTTTGTTTGTTTGGTTGGTTGGTTTCTTTGTTTGGTTGGTAGTTTGCTTGGTTGTTTGTTGGTTTGCTTGTTTGTTTCTTTGTTTGCTTGCTTGCTTGGTTGGTTGGTTGGTTGATTGGTTGTTTCTTTGTTTGCTTGTTTGGTTGTTTGCTTGTTTGTTTGTTTGTTTGCTTGTTTGTTTGTTTCTTTGTTTGTTTGTTTGTTTGGTTGGTTGGTTTCTTTGTTTGGTTGGTAGTTTGCTTGGTTGTTTGTTGGTTTGCTTGTTTGTTTCTTTGTTTGCTTGCTTGCTTGGTTGGTTGGTTGGTTGATTGGTTGTTTCTTTGTTTGCTTGTTTGGTTGTTTGCTTGTTTGTTTGTTTGTTTGCTTGTTTGTTTGTTTCTTTGTTTGTTTGTTTGTTTGGTTGGTTGGTTTCTTTGTTTGGTTGGTAGTTTGCTTGGTTGTTTGTTGGTTTGCTTGTTTGTTTCTTTGTTTGCTTGCTTGCTTGGTTGGTTGGTTGGTTGATTGGTTGTTTCTTTGTTTGCTTGTTTGGTTGTTTGCTTGTTTGTTTGTTTGTTTGCTTGTTTGTTTGTTTCTTTGTTTGTTTGTTTGTTTGGTTGGTTGGTTTCTTTGTTTGGTTGGTAGTTTGCTTGGTTGTTTGTTGGTTTGCTTGTTTGTTTCTTTGTTTGCTTGCTTGCTTGGTTGGTTGGTTGGTTGATTGGTTGTTTCTTTGTTTGCTTGTTTGGTTGTTTGCTTGTTTGTTTGTTTGTTTGCTTGTTTGTTTGTTTCTTTGTTTGTTTGTTTGTTTGGTTGGTTGGTTTCTTTGTTTGGTTGGTAGTTTGCTTGGTTGTTTGTTGGTTTGCTTGTTTGTTTCTTTGTTTGCTTGCTTGCTTGGTTGGTTGGTTGGTTGATTGGTTGTTTCTTTGTTTGCTTGTTTGGTTGTTTGCTTGTTTGTTTGTTTGTTTGCTTGTTTGTTTGTTTGTTTTGTTTGTTTGTTTGTTTGTTTTGTTTGTTTGCTTGAATTTTGTTTGGTTGTGTTTGTTTTTGTTTGTTCGTTTGTTTGTTTGTTTGCTTGAATTATGTTTGGTTGCGTGTTTGTTTGTTTTGTTTGTTTGTTTTGTTTGTTTGTTTGTTTGTTTGTTTGTTTGTTTGGTTGGTTGGTTGGTTGGTTGGTTGGTTGTCTATTTGTTTGTTTGTTTGTTTGTTTGGTTGGTTGGTTGGTTGTTTGTTGTTTGGTTGTTTGATTTTTTTGTTTGTTTGTTTGTTTGGTTGGTTGGTTTCTTTGTTTGGTTGGTAGTTTGCTTGGTTGTTTGTTGGTTTGCTTGTTTGTTTCTTTGTTTGCTTGCTTGCTTGGTTGGTTGGTTGGTTGATTGGTTGTTTCTTTGTTTGCTTGTTTGGTTGTTTGCTTGTTTGTTTGTTTGTTTGCTTGTTTGTTTGTTTGTTTTGTTTGTTTGTTTGTTTGGTTGGTTGTTTGTTTGCTTGAATTTTGTTTGGTTGTGTTTGTTTTTGTTTGTTCGTTTGTTTGTTTGTTTGCTTGAATTATGTTTGGTTGCGTGTTTGTTTGTTTTGTTTGTTTGTTTTGTTTGTTTGTTTGTTTGTTTGTTTGTTTGTTTGTTTGGTTGGTTGGTTGGTTGGTTGTCTATTTGTTTGTTTGTTTGTTTGTTTGGTTGGTTGGTTGGTTGTTTGTTGTTTGGTTGTTTGATTTTTTTGTTTGTTTGTTTGTTTGTTTGGTTGGTTGGTTGGTTTGTTGTCTGATTGACTGTTCGTTTGTTTGTTTGGTTGTTTGTTTTGTTTCTTTGTTTGTTTGTTTGTTTGTTTTCTTGTTTGTTTGGTTGTTTGTTTGGTTGTCTGTTTGGTTGGTTGGTTGGTTGGTTGTGTGTTTGTTTGCTTGGTTGTTTGTTTGCTTGGTTGGTTGTTTGGTTGTTTGTTTGTTTGTTTGTTTCTTTGGTTGTTTGTTTTGTTTGTGTGTTTGCTTGTTTGGCTGTTTGTTTGTTTGGTGGTTTGTTTGTTGGTTTGTTTGTTTGGTTGTTTGCTTGTTTGTTTGGTTGGTTGGTTGTTTGTTTTGTTTGTTTTGTTTGTTTGTTTTGTTTGTTTGTTTGTTTGGTTGTTTGTTTGTTTGTTTGTTTGGTTGGTTGGTTGGTTGGTTGTCTATTTGGTTGTTTGTTTGTTTGTTTGGTTGCTTGGTTGTCTGTTGTTTGGTTGTTTGTTTGTGTGTTTGTTTGGTTGGTTGGTTGGTTGGTTGGTTGGTTGTTTGCGTGTTTGTTTGTTTGGTTGTTTGTTTGGTTGTTTGTTTGCTTGGTTGTTTGTTTGTTTGTTTGTTTGGTTGGTGGTTTGTTTGTTTTGTTTGGTTGTTTGTTTGTTTGTGTGTTTGTTTGTGTGTTTGTTTGCTTGTTTGGTTGTTTGTTGTTTGGTTGTTTGTTTGTTTGTTTGTTTGTTTGTTTGGTTGGTTGTTTGTTTGTTTGTTTGTTTGGTGGTTTGTTTGTTTGTTTGTTTGTTTGGTTGTTTGGTTGTTTGTTGTTTGGTTGTTTGTTTGTTTGGTTGGTTGTTTGTTTGTTTTTGTTGTTTGTTTGTTTGGTTGTTTGTTGTTTGGTTGTTTGTTTGTTTGTTTGTTTGGTTGTTTGTTTGTTTGTTTGGTGGTTTGTTTGTTTGTTTGTTTGTTTGGTTGTTTGGTTGTTTGTTGTTTGGTTGTTTGTTTGCTTGTTTGTTTGGTTGGTTGGTTGTTTGTCTATTTGATTGTTTGTTTGTTTGTTTGGTTGCTTGTTTTGTTTGTTTGTTTGTTTGTTTGTTTGTTTGTTTGTTTTTTGTTTGTTTGTTTGTTTGGTTGTTAGTTTGTTTGTTTGTTTGTTTTGTTTTTTTTTGGTATTTTTTTTGTTTTTGTTGTTTGTTTGTTTGGTTGTTTGTTTGTTTGGTTGTTTGTTTGTTTGTTTGGTTGGTTGTTTTTGTTTTTTTGTTTGGTTGGTTGGCTGGCTGGTTGGTTGGTTGGCTGGCTGGCTGGCTGGTTGGTTGGTTGGCTGGGTGGTTGGTTGCTTGGTTGGTGGGTTGGTTGGCTGGGTGGTTGGTTGCTTGGTTGGTGGGTTGGTTGCTTGTTTGGTTGTTTGTTTGTGTTTTTTGTTTGTTTGGTTGGCTGGCTGGCTGGCTGGTTGGTTGGTTGGTTGGTTGGTTCGTTGGTTGGCTGGTTGGCTGGCTGGATGGCTGGCTGGTTGGTTGGTTGGTTGGTTGGTTGCCTTTCGGTTGTTTGTTTGTTTGTTTGTTTTTGTTTGTTGGTTTGTTTGGTTGGCTGGCTGGTTGGTTGGCTGGTTGGTTGGTTGGTTCATTGGTTGGTTGGTTGGTTGGCTGGCTGGCTGGCTGGTTGGGTGGCTGGCTGGTTGGTTGGCTGGCTGGCTGGTTGGTTGGTTGGCTGTTTTTCGGTTGTTTGTTTGTTTGTTTGTTTGTTTGTTTGTTTTTGTTTGTTGGTTTATTTGGTTGGTTGGTTGGTTGGCTGGCTGGCTGGCTGGCTGGTTGGCTGGCTGGTTGGTTGGCTGGCTGGCTGGCTGGTTGGTTGGTTGGTTGTTTGGTTGGTTCGTTGGTGTTTTCATGTTTCTGACTTTTTTCAGTGGCCTTCAGCCAAAGAACTTTCGCGGAGTGAGGCTCTGGGACTCTGCCTTGGAGTCGGCGCGCCGGTGGATCGCCTTCGAGCCCCAGGCAAAGCCATCGGACGAATGCGGGATGCGGGATGCGGGATGCGGGATGCGGGGCCCGCGTGTCCCTCAGCCCCATAAAAAGCTGGGATGTGTGTGTGTGTGTGTGTGTGTGTGTGTGTTTGCGTTTGTGTGTGTGTGTGTGTTTTCTTTCAGGGTACTCCCAAAAATGGGATGGGTGTTTTTTTTCCAGGGTACTTCGGTACCTTTTTTTGCACGTGTTCAAAAGGAAACCAGCCATTTTGGGGGGAACCCGTTTGCAGAGGTGCCGTTTTCACCTTGGTTCAATCAGAAGATACCAAAAGAGAAACCACCACAGTTGTGGGGGTACCTTCCCCATTCTTTCCAGGGATCCTTCTCTTCAGGGAACCGGTTTTTGCAAAGAACGACGGTTGAAAAGAATGGTTGGAATCAACTCCTAGAACATTTGTGGGGTGCCCAATGTTGCGACCTATCCGTGTTCGCCCTCGTCCGGTGGGAGTCCTCGAGGGGCCGCGCCAGGCCTTGAACCCTCGCTGTGCGGAGGCCTTTGCGCAGGCCGGCAGCCAGGCGCGCGCGGTCCGCGCGCCGCGCCGGTGGACAGATGTGGGGCAGAGCGACTCCAAAACGGCAGCCAAGCGGTGAACGCTGTTGGTCTCATATTCCAGGTTCAGTTTTTTGTTTAAAGATGGACTGCAAAATTGCGATTTTGGTTTGATCCCATATTCTGTGTTCGTTGGCTTTTTTGTATTCAAAGGCCAATGCCATTTTTGTTTGGTCTCATATTCCATGGGTTGGGGTGTTATAATTTAGAGACTGAGACACACCCATGTGGTTCAACGGTTTTTGCGGATACAAATCTCAGGAATTAAGCTGCGTTGTCTAGGTTTCTCTTGCGGTGTCCTGCCTCGTTTTTATGGGTAGGTCCACAGCCACAGGTGAGCCGTCAAACACATTGCTCAATCTTAGTTAATGAGGCAACACCCTCCAAGATGGTTGGACAAACAGGCACAAAGCGCGCCAACGGTGCCACCTCCGAACATGGGCCCCGCTGACCGGCTTCAGGAGAGCACGCAAGTAAAGGAGGCGCGGGTCCGGTTTGCACAGCTCTACAAGGAGGTCAACAAGCTGGAAGGACGCCGGGGGCAAGCAGAACTGGCTTCCTCCTATTTGCAATGCCCCACTTTTCTTTTGGGTGCATATTGAACAACCAGGCTATTTGCTTTCCGTCGTTGGTCCCGTTTCCAGTAAACTTCAGTAAACCGCACGCCTTTGTTCGGTCGCTCATGGGCACGGCCACGCATGTTCGTTGGTGCCGGCATTTTGTTTGGTTTTTGCCATGTGCCAGGTCCCATAACGACCCCGTTTTCTGGCCTCCCACTCTGTCAAGTCCTGTGCAGATGCTTCCTTTGTGGTATAGCTTTTAGCAGGAGGTCTGAGTTGGGAAACGCTGACATCCGTGTGTTGATGCCAGCATGATGACAAATTCAAAGTAACGTTCACACAACACACAACTTTACCGTTCACAGACTCGGGAACCTGCCGTGTTGCCATTCACATTCCTGGGCACCCGCCATGTGCTCCTTGCACCATGACCAACATGCGAATTCCATCACGACCAACCTGTTGACATTCACATACAAGGGTTCCATCGTACCATCGCCAAAATATTGGTTTGTACACAAGGGGTGGTCGTCATGTTTTGATCCCATCATGACCAACAAGTTAACCTTCACATACAGGGGATTACAAGGGCACCCGCCATGTGTCGATTCCATCATGACCAACGTGTTGCCATGCGCGCGCAAAAGCCGCACGTTGATTCTACCAGGGCCAGAGTGTCGAGGCTCATTCACATGCAAGGGCCGCCAAGGCCTACCTTGGGGTAACAAGGACCCCTGAGCTGAGCCACAGCCAACACCCAGGTATGTGAAGGTCGGCAAGGGACAGTCCCAGCCATAAACAGGCGCGGCCGCCTTCTTGATTCTTTACATTTCTTTACATATTTTTTGGTGGCCCCCTTTTGTACCAGGCGTTGATTGGGAAAAAAGCTTGTGAACTCAGATTGCCTCACGCAAGGAGAGGGGATCCGGGACGCGGCGGTAGAGCTGCAGGCGCGCGGAGCTGCGAGATGCATATCCCAAAAGCTGAGTGTTTGCTCGGGTTTTGCGGGGTTTTTGCATGTTAGTCTGCAGGGGGGAGAGGTGTTTGAAAGAAAACAACATGGGGCCTCCTTTTCGAGATTACCCGGTGATTACCCCTCCTTTCAAGTCAGCAGGGCACTCTTAAAAGGACACCAAAGGACCTGCAATGCCTAGCGGCCGCCCCATGTATCAGCCCGCATGTCCTCCACAGGTTGAGTAACGGACCCCGCCATTCTGTACCTCCCAAAGGGCGCGTCAACCAAAGGACTCTAGGAAATCCAAAGGCCCCAACCAAAAAAGCTAAGGCATCACCATGACCTCCTGAAAGGGAAGGCCATCATTGTCCTCCGGCAGCAAGTCCAGCCGAGGAGTGCGTTTGGCGCTGCGACGAGATGCTGGAGCACAAAGAAGCCGAGGCCGCCGTTGCAGAAGAGGCGGGAGGGCAAAGGATGGGAGGCTCAGTCACATGTCCCGTCAAGTAAGCATGGGACACAAGGCACTTGAAGCCCAGAGCAAGTACAGATAGCCGTCTATAACCAAGAATTCTTGACCATTGACTGCCAAGGAAGAAATCATCCAAGAAGCATTCCCTTCCTGTCACTCCCATCATCTCTTTTCCTTTCGATTTACAATGTGAATTTGTCTAAGATAGAATGCTTTATTTTGTAGTTGATTTCTTCGTGGTCCCCCCTTTCAACCCGGACCCCTCAAAAGGACAAGCCCACCCCCAAAGCGCCCCGTTTTTCGTCCCAGGCGTGCCGGCCTTGCAACTTGAGCGCTCGCCCGGCCACGGTGCTCACGGGCGCAAGGCCGGGCTCCCATCCCGGAGGAGGCCCTCCATCCGGCCGCCGTGAAGTCATTTTGGGCTTGAGATCCCTGTTGGCAGTTCCCAGTTGCATTCCCCAAAAGTGTGCCAACTGTACGCCATATTTTTCTCTTTTTGGCCGATTTAATCTGTTTTGTGGCAAGGGTGATGTTTCGATGAAAGACTTGGGGGACCCCGTGGGTAAACCCGGGCGCCAAAAACCAAGGGACACAGAGGACCAGCATCTCAGTCCCTAAGTTCATGGACATTACTTTTGGGTTTTGGACCATGTTGGTGGCAAGCATCAAACTGGTCACCTTTGTGGCCCATCCACTCAGGAAGTTGCTTGGGGTGCCAAAGGGTGGTCAGGTACAGCCCTTTTGCGGGCATACGGATGGTTGGCACACATCATGATCATATGAGTTACGTGTTGAATGTTCAAGTCCTATGCACTAGGACCTTTTTTGGACAAGTTGCCGGCCCCTTTCAAGTGTAGTTCTCCTTGTCTTACTGGTTGTTTGTTTTTCAAGGCGTTTATTGGTTGGCAGGTGTCTCCGCCATGTTAGTCAAGGGTAAGAATGTGCCAACTCTTTCTGGCCAGTCAGCTCAGCGGACAGGGAAGGGGGAGGGAGGGGGCAGTTGGTCCAAGAAACCAGCACGATATTACTTGGTTGACAAGTGCCAAGAGCTTCTTCGTGGACGTTTGGCCAATTTTTTCCTGAATCAGGCAGGCTCTTGGAGCTGGGAGGTCCCTTCCTTGGGACAAATTCTACGCTTGTGACAAGGTTTTGGGAGCAACTTTGCTACCCTTCTGATGTCATGTGGACTTCAGCCACACATCACTTAGAAGTCGCTTGAGGGAAATCTGGGGTATGGAGTTGCAGGCCGGTGCCAACCGATGAGTCCAGGATCTTATCCTTGGTCCCTTCTAAGCAAGAGCGCGCTCCATAGGCCCCATTGAACCCTTACACCTTTCACTTTAGCCAAATTGGAGGGCAACCCAAGCTCCATCGATCGGACCTTACTTGGCCTGCGATATCTGGTCTAAACCCACCCAACCCACTATGCCTCCCGGGGGCTCAACCCACCAAACCCCTCTGGAACCCCAGGCCCAGTTTGACCCCAGGCGGTTGTGCCCTTTTACCCTTTTTTGGGGGAGGGTTCCCCTAGTAAAATAGACTACAGAAAAAGTTGGTACCCTTATTCTAACGTCTCTGCTGGAGGACCTAGAAAAGCAGACCGCTCCAAGGCCGCCCCACTTCTTCCTGCCCAACTTTGCAGACTCTGTGGGGCCGGTGCAACCCGGCGAAAGGAGAAGAGCGAGAAGAGCCATCTGAGTTTTTGCGTTCGTGTTTGCTTCGGTTGGCCCACAAGGCGAATCTATTTCTTTTCACCTTTTCACGTTTCACTTGTTGGTTTCCTTTAGTTGGTCCACATGTTGTCAAGGTTCCAAAAGGTCACCACCTTTCATTTCCGGGTCCGTTGCGCAAGCGAAGCAGCTTGTTTGGCATGCTGGAAGCCCACAGGCTCCCGGGCCCATGATTGCATAGATTGTTGCCATGCAGTTTTAGTGCCCCCTTTTGGTTTTCAAACACTGCCAAAAAAACATTTGATCTCGAGATTGATTTCAATGGCTTGCAAGCGGCAAAGGTTTTGGGGCCGGGGCCAATGGGTCCTGCCAACTCCTTCCGGCCAAAGCTTTGGTTTGAACCAAAGCCGCAGAGAACAAGCTGTGTGTGGCTTCTCTACCGTCCATCTTTTCACGTTTCAGCTTTTGCGTTTTTTCAGCAGGGAAGGAAGGAATGACTCCTGCTGTAAAACATGCCTTATGGCTCCTTTAAAGGAGATTTCATTTTTTCCAGGTTGATTCGCTAGTGAGAACCAGCAAGTCGACCATTCCCCCTGCTGGCCAAAGGATGGATTTGAGACTCCTTGCCAAAGGTCTTGTTTCGCAATTTTACTGGCCCAAGGACTATTGCTGCGGCAAAAGGATTGGCTTGTTTCTTTTTGCCAGCCACAGGTGGGTTGTTTCTGCCGTTTAACTGGCCAAAGGCTTGGTTCGTTTTCGGATAGACTAGGTTTTTTGCAGTAATGCCCTTTTGCCCTTTATTGGGGGAGGGTTCCCCTACTAAAATACGCTAAAATAGACGACAGAAACAGGATCGGGTACCCTCTCTACTGGAGGGCCTCGTAGATTTCACCCGTCCAAGGAAGGTGGTGCAGGCGGACAAGGAGGAGCTTGGAGGCGGCGCGGTCCACAGCCGGAAGCTGATCGTCACCAAGGATGTCCAGGCGCGCGCAAACGCGCTCGCGCCACGCAAGTCCTCGTGCGCGCGAGAGAGAGGGAGAGAGAGTTGTGTGTCTCTGCAGGATGACAAAAGAAGTCCAGACGGCATCAAACTACTTTCCCCTGGGAAGTACGACACGTGTGTGTGTGTGTGTGTGTTTTCCCCAGATCATTGTGTGGGGTTCTTACTTTTACCGCTCGTCGTCCGTCGCCGTTGCCTCCTTCCTTCTCGCCTCCTTCCGCCCTCACTCACTCACTCACTCACTCACTCACTCACTCACTCACTCACTCACTCACTCACTCACTCACTCACTCACTCACTCACTCACTCACTCACTCACTCAGGCGCAACAACTTTGGACATGGAATCCGTGGCAGGGTCAGCATTTGAGAAGGCCCTAAGGGAACTGGATGTTGTCGCGCGCGCTCTTGTGGGCACCCTGGTTTCGTGGCAGGGGCAGCATTTTGGACATGAAGCTGTGGATTTCGTGGCAGGCGCAGCACTTTGGACATGTGAGTGCTGGATTTCGTGGCAGGGGCAGCTTTCTCGGCTCAGCAGCATGGCGATCAGATTCAGGGGTCGGCTGCTGTAGCACTTCTGGATGGTCGGTCAAAGATGCCAACCGAGTACTGTCGCGGCTCATGGCGCGCTTGCGTTCGCAGAGATTACAGTCGAGTTAGAGGCCCTTTGCGGGCATCGAGGGAAGACGCGCATGGAAATCTTACGACATTGCAGGCTGCAAGTGGAGATGCGCTAGCTGCACAAGCTGCCGCAGACAAGTTGAAAACGGAGGCGAGCGCTGTCATCCACACGCCGCAGCAGCTGGCTGCTTCGAGTGGAGCTCTGCAAGCTTCTGCATTCGATCTCAGGCTTGTTGGACTTCCAGCTGTCTGAATCACTCATATACTCACGCACTCACTCACTCAGTCACTCACTCAGTCACTCACTCACTCACTCACTCACTCACTCTCTCGCTCTCTCGCTCTCTCGCTCTCTCACTCACTCACTGGCTCGCTGGCTCGCTCGCTCGCTCCCTCACTCACTCACTCACGCACGCACTCACGCACTCACTCACCCACCCACTCACTCACTCACTCACTCACCCACTCACCCACTCACTCACTCACTCACTCACTCACTCACTCACTCACTCACTCACTCACTCCCGCACGCAACGACGCACGCACTCGCTCGCTCGCTCGCTCGCTCGCTCCCTCACTCACTCACTCACTCACTCACTCACTCTCTCTCTCTCTCTCTCTCTCTCTCTCTCTCTCTCTCTTTCTCTCTCACTCACGCACGCACTCACTCACTCACTCGCTCACTCTCTCACTGGCGCACTCACTCACTCACTCACTCACTCACTCACTCACTCACTCACTCACTCACTCACTCACTCACTCACTCACTCTCTCTCTCTCTCTCTCTCTTTCTCTCTCTGTTTCTCTCTCACTCACGCACGCACGCACTCACTCACTCACTCACTCACTCACTCACTCACTCTCTCTCTCTCTCTCTCTCTTTCTCTCTCTGTTTCTCACTCACGCACGCACGCACGCACTCACTCACTCACTCTCTCTCTCTCTCTCTCTCTCTCTCTCTCTGTTTCTCTCGCACTCACTCACTCACCTCACCCACTCACTCACTCACCCCGTCATTCATCTGCAGCGAAGAGACAGCAGATGCTCCTCGCGGCTCACACAGGCTTTTTCATGTGTTTATCGCATGGCCACCAGAGAACCATTCACTGAACAAATGCGCACGTGGGGCTATCCGGTCCTTGAATTTTTTGTTCTTGGGGGACTTTGAGATCAAACCCGCAAAGACCCACCAACGCTTAGTGATTAGTTACGCCTCATTTGGGCTTAGCGAGCCTTTTGATGGGTTAAGAGGCCATAAGGACTCAATAGGCCTTGTGTTGGCTTAAGCTGCATGGGCATATTGGGCCGGCCAAACAAGGCCTCTCAGCTGGGAGTTGATGCCCTTCTAACCATCCCTTGTGGGTAGGTTTATTCCCAAAGCTTGCGTGACTTCCTGCTGAGAACCGGAAGCAGTTTCCCCGTTTGGGGACCCAGTGTTTTCCCGCTTTTCATCACTACACTTATGAGCATTTTCACAGCCACCCGTATCTGCAGTCTCCAGGATAGCTTGTTTGATTGATTGATAGCAAGTTTTGTGGTTGGTGGGGGGGAACCCTGCGTGTGTTTGCTTTTGTGGTCCTTTCAGGTTGGTTCTGGGAATTCATAGGGAACCCAAGCCAAATAAACCAGGGCCCCCTTGGGAGACACATCATGTGCGGCAGCCCCCTTTCAGGCACATCCATGCTGAGGGACAAAATCTTGCACCACTTTGAAGCCGTCAAAAGCCGTTGTTTCTTGGCATTTCGCAGAAACAAACGCATTTTTCCCAGGGTTTCCGAGGGGTGCAAACTGGATCTCGTCCATCCACAGCCGCACTCCTCGCGGTTTCCTTCGGATCCCTCCGAAGCGGCCGATCGAAAGCGGAGGCTGGGGAGCCGCTCTTCGTCCAGAACGCCATGGCCTTCGCGAGCTTGGACCGGGCGCGGATTTTCATTTTCTTTTTCTCGCCCGCGCCTTCGCGTGAAGGTTTTGGGTGTCTTTCTCCCGGGTTCTGGGCATTTTCGGCGGACGCTCGCGGGATGGGGGAATTCCCAGAAAGAAACCCGGAAAGGGGGAGTTGAACGAATTTCAATCTCGAATTCGGGGTAAGGTTCCCAAAGTTTGGTGGGATGCTGTGGCTTTACGCACCTGGAACTCACGTTTGGAACATGCATTTGTCCTGGCATTTGCAGGAGAACTGGCTGAGATGCTTAGATTAACCACAACAAAAATGGCGCCCAACAAGAGATAGCGGTTAATAGTGACTGGGCCCATCCCCCGCAGGGTTTCTGGGCAAACTGGGCCAAGAAAATCCTGCAGACAGCAGTTTTTTCTGCACCGAGGTGTCATAAACGGAATTCGCGCGCCGCTGGTGGCCTATACTTGCTGTTGATCTTTAATCCCACCAAAAGACAAAAGAAAAGAGAACCCTCAAATCAAGCACCTCTCCAGAATTGCATTTGCAACCGCCAGAACAGAATGCGACAGAACATGTAAAATAAGTTGCCCAAGTCTGCTGCTTTTTTGCAATGAAATCCAAAGCCGATAGGAATTGGATCAAAGCCAGGCATGTTGTGGGCTCGCTGCTTTGGCTGGTGGCCAGGCTTCACAAAACATGTTTGGTAGGATCCGGTTGTATCACCTGCGCTCTTCTGACTTGCTCAAAGCCAGTCTTTAAACTTGTTACGGTTTAGTTTCGGTTTATATGTCAGTCTAGTCTCGGCAAAAGGTGAACTGTCAGAGGTCCGTTGCAGTTCGGCTGAGCCGAACTTCCGCACCGGCCCGGGCGTTTTTTTCTTTTTGCCCTTCTGGGATGCAAGGGAATGCCCTGATGTGGGCTAGTCTTTGTGAGGCTGGCATCACAGTCAGCTCCCACAGCCCCGGGAGAAGCTCTCTTTCGGAAGGCGGGCGACGTGGTGCGGCTCAAGACGTCCTTGGTGACCGCCGCCACGCTGCCGGGCGCCTCAAGGCCTCGGCCACTAGCAGGATATGCACCTTGCTGTTCTTGACGTTGTGGTCCTAGAAGCCACGAAGCGCCAGCTTTCCACGAGATTGGGGAAGGATAATGTGGTTGAAATGGAAGGCACGAGGCCGTTGCGTCGTTTCGAGCGCGGGAGGGGGCCCGATTTTTTGGAAGGCGGTCCTATTTGTGTTGCTCTTAACAGGAAACCATGGCGATGTGGGGTTTCTGACGCTTCTGGTTACCGCGTAATTTTGGGAGCGCGAGCTCACCTTTCAGATTGCTTACCTGCAAATCCCTGGATTCAGCTGGTGCCAACAATTGCAAGGCCGCCAGAGTTGTACCCCTTGGCTAGCTACCAGAGATATGAGACTGCCAGAGACTTTTCCAGTGTGGAAAGCCCGATTCAAAGTGATATCACCCTCTCAAAAGGGGCATGAGCTTGGGTGGGCAACCCACCGCTTTTTGATGGAGGACCAAAAATGGAGGTTTTCTTTCTCAGGGGATGGGACGAAGGCTGAAGATCTGAAGTGGACGCCTTTTCAAGAGGACCACACTCTTGCAAACCCCTCCTGTCAGGGCTCACTCCCCCAGCTTTTGGACAAGTAATGCTTTGGTAAAATTTCGTTGGAATCGACACGTGAGGTTTCCCTTTAAAGGAACTCGGCCGAGGTCACAATCAAGACCTGGGTAGGTGAAGGTTAGGACTCCCAGCTATAAATAGCTGCGGACCTCCGCCTTCTTAGTTTTTTACGTGGCTTTGGGAATACGACCATTTACAGGGGGGTTTGAGCAAGTGACTCAAGTGATTTTTCGGGCCAACCTCAGGGGAGCCACGAGTCCGGGACCTGAGGTCGCCGCGGCAGGCCAAGCTGGTGGACATCTTGCTGGATAGGAGCGGGGGGGGGGTCTGCAATGAACCCAGATAGGTGGTCTGGGGGTTAGCTGAGTTGGTTGGTAACCCCTACTTCTACGGGTGTAGAAGGGGGTGAACTGAGGGGTTACTAACTACCTAGCCAATTGCTGGACTCGGACCATTTGAGTACCTGGGTGCCAAAACAGCACCCTGGAAGCCTAAAAGGAAAGAAAAGAACCAGACAGAAGGTCCCCTGTCTGGCAGATGTTAGTGGGCCTGAGCCCCGGTCAAACCTGGATGAAGCTTAGTAAAAAAAAGCCGCATAACTTGGGAGGGTGAGCTGATTCTTTCTGGACATGGACAGCGGCCCCCGGGCGGTTTGGTTGCGTAACCACTCGTCAGGAGCGAGTGGGACGATTCCAAGAGCGATGAGGTCATGGAGGCCCTGCGTGATCCAACCGCCCCGTGCCTGAAATTGGGCCGTTTGACTTGTCTGCCCCTCAGGCAGATCTGCTTCTTCAACGCCTGGGGGGTTTCTCAGCTGGTGGCTGTGGATTCCAGAACTGTCAGGAGGGCCTCAGGAGTACCCCTTCTAGGTCCCCCAGTAGTTCCTTTTTTGCCGTTCTTTTTTGGGGGAGGGTTCCCCTACTAAAATAGACTACAGACAAAAAGAGTTCGGGTACCCTTCTTCTAACCTCTCTACTGGAGGACCTTGCCTTGCCGTCCACGTGCTGCGAGACATGCATCGACTGCGCGCATTTTGGGGCCGAGGTGGTGAGGGAGAAGCCATGGAGCTCCGAGCCGGACGACATGGTGAAGCACTTCCAGGCGCCGCTCTCGCGGCCCGCGGAATTTTTCGGGACGTCAAAACGGGGAAGTCGGGGGGGGGGGGGAAAGAAGTGGATCCCCTTCCTGTTTCTACTGGGCTACTGGGCAACTGCCATCCTGCTTGTTTTGGGCTTGACAGGTTCTATAAGAGGTCCCGTCAGGATATCTAGCAGTCTATGATGAATTTGGGAACCTGATGGACTGACCCAAGCATATTGACGAGCGGGATGCCGTTGGAATCCATGGGATGCGTGCGCGTGTGCGCCGGAAGGTTTGGCAACCAACCCCGGCTGATTTTGTTGAGTGCGAGAGCCCCCCCAAAAAAAGAAAAGAAAGAAAGCACAGAAAGCAACAGAAGAGCACCAACAACACACACAACAAGAAAACACAACAACACACACACAATCAAAAACAAAACAACAAGAGGTACCGCAATTGGGCTCCTGGGAATGGGCGGCTTGCCTCGACGTCTCGACGTCAGGCCTGCGAAGAGCTGGTGCTGCAGGCCCAGGTGCTCACGGGGAAGAAGTACAGCGGCATTTGGATGCCGCTGGGTCGGGCTCGGCTTGGGGTGAAGTCGGCGCGAGTCGCTGGGGAAAAAGAGACCAAGCCTATGTGGCTGTGGGTCAAAGCCTATGGGATTCCATTTTAGAACCTATTTTAGTGGGGATTGGGATGTTCACTGGGGGTGTGGGATTTTGACCCATGGGCCATGTAGCACCCAAATCGTAAACCTGCCCCCAAATGCTTTCCGCGTATGGTGTTTCCACTGAACGACAGCCCCACGGCAACAGCTTTCCTTGGTTGTTTCTTGTTGCCGGGATCCCTTTCGAAATTAGGATTCCTTCGCAGCTTCCCCAATCAGTGTATGCACCAGACTCAAGCAATGTGTGTTGGTTTTGCCAAGAGGTAGCTACCACATCTTCCCCGATCCCAGGCTTCCTGCCCTGGCGCGGCACAGCTGCGCTCCCTCGGGTCGGCTGTTCGGCTAGCTCTGGGGGGTGGCGCAGAATGGCCTCCTTCCGTTCCTCTTCAAGGGGGTAGATAGTGGGGATCCTTGATGTTGACCTGAACCGGATGGATCAACCTGCTGGATTATGAGGGTCTTCATCGACCAGGAAGTTGTTGATCCCAGGTTTGCCATCACAGGGGTCACTTGATTTTTCAAGGTCGTTTCAGGTGTGAAATGCTTGAGGGATTGACGCAGTGGGAGTCGCAAAATTCCCACTGTTGAGCAAGTAGGACTCAGTGGTTCTTCAAGGTTGCAATTCCTGGCGGATTCCGCTGAAGCGAATCTCAGGGGACCTCCTCTAGCATCACAGGCGGAACATCCGCATGGGAAAGGGTGTCCCTGATCTCGTTTGAGCCATTGCTGGGTGAAAGCCTGTGCATCTCAAGGGGGGCCCTCCTGCCACAGTTGGTCCAGTAGCATCCTTCTCTCTAATCGGACCGAGCTCGCCGGCCGAGGAAACGATCCATTTAACCCAGGACGACCCTGAATGGCCTGGGATTCCTTGACTAGATGGGCAGAACTGCACTGAGCGCAACTGTTGCTCCTGTTGTTGAGTGGCTTCCCAGTTCACAGCGTCAGCGGGTTCAACAGGGTGAGCATCATGCATTTGGATAAAGAGCTTGTTTCAGATGCTGCTGGGGAGGGTTGTCACTGCCCCAAGCCACCACCTTCTAGGCGGAAAAGCGATGCCACGAGCAAAGAAAATAGGGACCGGAGAACCCCACCCTCGTTGATGTATGTGAATGGGGCCCCGCTTCCTCCGTTTCGGATGCCCGGCGTCGTGCGCGCGCGCGCGCGCGCCAGCCAACCACACCATTTGGGGCGACGTGCTCATGGCCCGTGCGGCGCGGCCCCTGAAAGCTGGCGACGAGGCGCCCTGCAGTGAGCGGTCCCTTAGCCTCTCACAATCGATTTGCGGCTTTTTCCAGCGCCTCCAGCTTGTTGTTGATCTGGCGGTTCAAGGTCGCCAGTGCAGGGGCAACCAGAGAGCCATGGGGGACGTTTCCATGCCCCACTGCGGTTCCCCCTCGGCCAAGGGCATTTTCATGGTGTTTGGAGGCAAGGTTTATATACCAAGAATATAAGCTAAGGCGTTTTATAGCCCTGCTATAAGCGCTACATAGCCTCCATACCTCCAAAACCCCATACCTGAAAATTGACTCGTGGCTTCGTGCCTGGGAGGTGACGTTGGGCCTCTTCGAGCTGTGGTTTCCCCTGGAGATGCGCCAGGATAAGTTCACCCACACGGGGCCCGGGTTCTGGTGCAGGCGGGGAGGGGAGGGGAGGGGAGGAGGGGAGGAGGCTGTTGGGAAACCAAGGCACCACCCACATTTTTTTGTTTGGTTAGTTTCCAGCAAAATAAGACCAGCTGAATTGTCAACACCGGTTTTGCTTGCCTCCCGCCACCCCCCGCTCCCTCAAGTCTGAGACTAAGAACTCCAACACTAGGTGGAATCCGAACGGACAGCGACTTCGGAAGGCGGGGCTTGATTTCCCCGAGCTCCCGAACCACAGCGGCTGCCTGAAATCCAAATCCTGCCAGGCAAGCCAAGGATTGAAAAAAGAAGTAAGAAACCAAGAAAGGTCGCTGATAAAGAACCAAGAACCCAATGTGCTATGTCGTTTGATACTGCTCTTCCTTCGGTTGGTATTTCAAGGGAAATCAAGGGGAGACCGCACATATGTTTTGTTGGGCTGGAGGGGTTCCCTTTGAAGAGATTTCCCAAGTAAGGAGCCAAGGCCGTTCTTTGCTGAGTCGCTTCGGCTGGCGCTTTGGAGGTGCCCACGCTGCGAGGCAGAGGCGAACTTCGACCCCCGGGCGGCGGGGGCGGCCCAGTGTTCGGCTTCGGGTGGGCGAAAGCTGAAAATGAAAAGCCAACACGCAGGTATTGACTGCCCGAGTTTCTGGACTTTAGACTTGGGAAGACCCGGATTAGTGGTAAAAACAAGTTTAGACCTTTTTTGACAACTTTCTTTGGCCAACCTACTCAGGAAGCTAGGCTGTTGACTAGGCGGTCACACCACTCCCATACTCCCAGAATCGTCCCGCAAGATGTTCCCTGGCAGTACTACTACGGGGTATGTGGGAACGAGCAACGTGCAAGAATGCTTGCATGAGGCTTGATCATGCATAGAACAATCCATTCATTGTTGTATCATGCACCAAACCAAAGATTGGTGCACCCAAGGTTACGAGGGGCCACAATCTTTGCGAAACCCCTATGTCCTGTTTGGGGGGGGGGTATCTGAAGTTGCCCTGGGCATTGCCAGCCATTTAGTCAGAGTCTGTTTTTTGCGGGTGGTCTAAGTCGAGCCATGGAAGGCGTGGTGTTTTTGCTGCGAAGGTGGAGGCAGCTGCAGATCTTGAAGCCAGGCCTGGCATGGCATGGCCAATTTGTGTCACCCGGGAGGCTTTTGAACACTCAGTTTGGGAGTTGAGGCTGCTGAATATGGACCCACTTCCATGTCTGATGGAGAATACTTTTTGTCAAGCCCCCTTGGCCAGGAATCCTTGTCTGCGAATGCCAATGCAGACTCTCCATCCTGTTTCCCCGGCAATATTGCACCTGTGGAAGGGCTGGACAAACTTGAAGGTATTTGGCAGACAGCTTGCCATTCGGGAAGTGGCGTGCCCTGAGAATCCCAATGGCTCGTGCAGGTTTCAGCAGCAGGGCAGCCGGATCCAAGCGGTCATGGAGACGTTGGACCTCAAGCTGGAAGAGCGGAAGAAGGCGCCGATGCGAACTTGGCGTCGGACCGGCCCTGTGCATCAATAGTTCGGAGAGAGCTAGGTGTTTGCCGTGGATGTGGGGATGGCAAAGATGTATCACCGCACAAGATCAGATGCTCGGTTTGGATGGCAAACTTCAGGAGCTGGAGAAGGAGTACGATGCTATCCGAGCCGGTGCCCAAGTGGCTCAGGCCTCGTTCCAGTGTGCGTGGCTCCTTTGGACGAAGCAGACTCGTGTAGAGGTTCCTTCTAGGGGAATTCAGGTTCCAGCGCCGCGATGAGTTTTGACGGCACTGCGGCACGAATGCATGCGGGCATGCCAAGCGTCGTTCATGGCTTGTCCCTGTTTCAGCTGAGGACAATGAAAAGCTCAACAAAGAGATGGACGAAGGACTGGCGATCATTGACAGAGAAAAGCTGGCAAGAAGACCCTCCACTAAACCAAGGGTCCATGAAACAAGATGGTGTTCCAGGCTTGCCCTGAAAAGAGCCCAGTAGACCTAGGACCTAGACCCCTCTGGCGAGCTTCCTGAAGGTGTCCAAGTCCCCGCCTTCAAGGAGTGTCTTAGGTTTGGCAGGGCCTGTTTTGAGTCAGTATCCCACGGGCTGACAATGTGTAACCATGCAGGGACACTTAGTTGGCCTTAAGGAAGTGCGGAAAGCACTTCATTGACCACTGGGAAACATAGCAGCAGCCAAGGGAACATGTGCTAGGTCCCCCCTTAGTGCCCTTTTACCCTTTTCTGGGGGAGGGTTTCCCTACTAAAATAGACTACAGAAGAAAGGGTATTTTTATTCTACCCTCTCTACTGGAGGACCCAGTGTGGATAAACTCTCGGATGGCTTCAGGGCGGTACCCCCCGCAGAGCTAGCGACGAATATGGCCAGTGACAATTCGAATGGCCCTTGGCCGAGACGCTTGTTTTTAGGGGTGTTATCGCGAAATTCTTGTCGGACTTCCGGCAGACAATTATGGTCATAGCCTTCCTGACAGCCAATGACCTGGCTTCGCTTGGCCACCTTTCTTTGGCCATGGCTGCGTTGACAAACCCAGCAAATCTCCTCAGTTCGAGGATCTCTTTGTGTCCATGCCATGCGGTTGGATCTTTGGACTTTAGCCTTTTGGGAAACAGTGGAATTTCCATTGGACCCGCAAAAAGTTCAACTTTCGCAGAGGGGCCAACAGCAACCAAGGTTTATAACCCCTGTTAAGTATCCAAACCATAGGGCGGCGATTCCAAGCATGGCTCTGAATCAGTGGTCGCTGAGCGAGCCCCTGACTCAGGTAATGTCAAGCCTGGAAGAATGAACCCGGACCAAAAAACAACCTCTGCTTGTAATTACCACATATCACCACCTATGTTATGATGTTCACCAGGGGTGCAGGGTTTCACCCACCGCCATTTTTTTAATGAGATGCTTCTCCCCAAAGTCCACAAGCCCCAGCATTGCATGGCTTCCCCTCGCGCGAGGCCTTCTGGGCCTGGCGGACCGCTTCAAGAGCCTCAAGGGCGCCCCAACCGACGCGGACATTGAGGAGCTGCGGAAGTACTTCCCCGAGCGGAACGAGCCGGAGCCGCCGGGCTGAGTCGCGGAAGTCGGCTGGGTAGGAGGTGAATCCTTTCTGAAATCGGAGGGTCAGTCCCAAATTGGCAAAACCTGGGTTGTCAGAAGCTCACCTGGTAAGCAATGGTGGTCCTTGACTGAATCCAATTCTTATTTCAGGCTTTAGGATCCACATGCCAAGCCGAATTTGCAGATGCTCGCCGCATTCAGGGAAGCAAGCACCAGCGCTGAGCCAGAGGTTAGTGGACGTGAAGCCTGACCTGGTCAACGACCTCTTGGATGCCGTGGAAACCTTCGAAATGGAGGCAAAGGAGCGAGACGATCCCCATGGAAGCCCATGGTTGCGCATTGTGTTCAAGCTGACGACCCTTTGGAATGGAAAGCGTGAGTTGATGCTTCAGCAACAGACTTGCGAATGAACTGATGGCTCACTCGCACCATGACGTGCATTGCCGCTTTCGTCCGTCAACTTAAGCGCCAGCCCGCTGCGGAAGACCCATGCTATTGCACTGGCATGGGTTGCAATGAGACCCCAATAGCGGATGTCGGAAGAGTGTCTTTCTTCCAGTGGCCACTGGTGGCAGGGCGTTGCCGTGGCGCAGGTGGATACGCTGGACATGCCAGAGGAGCACCGACATTGGCTGGTGTCCAACCATTTAGCTGGGCCCTCAGTGCGAGGGAGGCCTTCAAACATCCCCAAACATTGTTTGTTTCTTTCTTTCTTTCTTGCTTGGATGGTTGGTTGGTTGGTTGGTGGGTGGGTGGTTGGTGGGTGGGTGGGTTGGTTGGTTGGTTGGTTGGTTGGTTGGTTTGTTGGTTGGTTGGTTGGTTGCTCGGGTCCGCTCTGCTTGGATTGGTCGGTCGGTTGGTGAGTCAGCCGGCCAGCCGCTGGTTGGCTTGCTTTGTTTGCATGTTTACTCGCTGGTTAATCTGTTTGTTCTTCCTTTGGCAGTGTTGGTTCAAATGTTGCTTCAACGCAGGAGGGCATCTCTAAACCGCGGCGGATGCTCATGCGCTTTACACATGTGATTTCATGTCGCAGTTCCATATTTAGATAGCTTCCTAGTCTGTGACATCAGTGGTAAGCTTCGTTCCCAGTGCCCTCACCAGGGCTCACTGGCGTGCTTTGGCTCAGTGTTCGGTCATTCCGGCCGGAGCTGAACACACAACCTTCAGCCTTCAGCTTTATTTGAATCAAACACAACATGCTCAACCCTGCCCCTCCACGAGCAGACCCCTTTGTTTTCAACAAGTTTTGTGCTGGTTGATCCAACATTCCATGATCCCTCCTTGCCGGAAGGGCCACGCAACAGCGGGTGGCAATGAACTTCGAAGAAGTGCGCGGCGCCGGTTAGCAAGGATGACCATGAGCCTTGTCATTTCGGGGCCCATGCTCAACAACAAGTCCTTAGGGCACCGCCCTAGGCCTTACAATTCAAAGGGCAAAACAAGGCCTGAAGGGTTGTGGAAGGTTGGGAAGTGGTCTGCAACCCCAGGTTGCAGCGCATGGCACCCTGACCCTGTACTAGGTTTCAAGATGCGGTTCCTCCCACGCTGTGTTGTTTGTTTTCAATATAGTGGTCGCCCCAAATGGGTGGCTTCCTTTCGGTGTCACTTTAAAATACCAACCACAAGGGTCCATTGTGAGAAACACTCTGCAGTGCACAGGGGCAATACGGCCAGCTGATCACGCTGCTGCGCCTGCGGAAAGACGTGGAGGCCACAACTATCACGGTTGTAGTGGCGGGCGGAACAGGGTGATGCGGTTGCATATTGACGATCTGGCTTGATGGAAAGATGGCACATTCAGAATGCGCATCCAGGCACCTTCAAACTCCACAACCCAAGCGAGCCAACAAGCAGCCGACAATGAAATCTGCTTGGATGACCTTGTTCGACTCAGGTGCCTGAAACCAATGCAGGGCGTAAAATTGAACACTTGGGTTTGCGATTGGTATTGCTGAAAACGCCGGGTTCCAAAGGAAAACCCGCTCCAGGTAGGCCCGTGTGAGGAAGACACAAAACAGCTTTTCTCTAGGGGTTGAAGGGCCCATCTAAAAAGCAATCGTTCTTCTCAAAAAACCGTTGCTTTCCCCACATCCCACTAGAGTGTACACTCGGATGCGACCGGTGAAGTCCATGTGTCGCACGTTTCTTCGGGGAGTGGCAAGGGTGGCCGGTTCGACTTCAGAGCTGGGTGAATCAAAGGCTGAATCAAAGGCTGGCGGCATGTTTTCTTTTTGGGGCGGTGGAGTTTGTCTGGATCCTTGAGGACCTTAGGCTCAGGGAAGCCGAATTGCCCCCAGGCGAGCGAGCCTCTCACTTTGCAGACTGGAAGGATAAGTCCCAAGGGATCAGAAGGCTGTGCAAGGGAGTCCCTACTGCTTTTAAACCCGAAGAGAGGAAGCTGTTCCCACCAGGTGAGGTGGATATGGCGGTCTTTGTCACCCATGAGGGTGTAAAAGGACAGGATTTGCGCGAACCTGATCTATTGTAGATCGGGTTGTTAGAGATTGCAGGATGCATGTTGAACAACCCTGTAGGCTGAGCCCCATATTTCGGGTCACAGCTGTATACATGTTGACCTCCCCAAAACCAACAAGAATGGGGGCTCCGTATCTTCCACCACATCATCCAGAGAACTCACTAATCAGGCTTGGCGAAGAGCAGAAGGCAACCTAGCATCTCGAAGCAAATGTACCCGATTCAGTTCAAGTGCAGTTACTGCTCGAAAGTGCTTCACGGTACTGGGGAACAGTCTCTGGCCTGCTTGTAACCCAGCACAGTGGTTGTAAGTCCCCCAGGGTTAACCATTTTGTGATCCCTCCCCGGCCATCCAAGTATATCCCCCCGGAATTCCTTCCCCACATGCTACTTTTCTGGGCCTACCCTCGGTTGGTTCCCGGGGCCAGTGAGCCACCTCCGCCAGGCCCAGCGTCGGGTGGTGGATCGGCTCCTAGATGCGGTCGGGGGCCCTGCAACTTGGGGGTTCTCGTGCGCCAGAAGAAATCACCGAAGGGTGTGTCTTAAATGGGGGAATCCCCTTGAACTTTGAACTCGTTGGTTTTCACGCGGCTTCCCTTGAAAACTAAAGAGGAATGCATTCAAATAGCCGCAAAAACCGACACACAAGGCCCCCGCAGAGAGAGAGAGAGAGAGAGAGAGAAAGGGGGGGCCTTACCTTGAAATGGTTGGTTTTCCCGCAGTTCCTTGAAAACCGGGGACACAAAAATGGGCCGCCGAACATCGGGCTTCTATTTTCCAAAAGGCCCCAAAGTGACAAAAAAGAGGCATTTTAGGGAGAGATGCTCGCTTGACCAAAGTGGATCGACCTTTCGACCCTTCAATGATCCATTTTTTGTAGACCCCCCAAACCTTTGCTTCGTGCCAGGGCGAAGGTTGAGTCTTCTTGTCACCTGCTCCCCCAACAACAAAAACAAACGCTCGGATCCTTGCTTGTGCCAGCAACAGGCCATCCAGCATTAAGGTTCCACAGTCTTGTGCCATGTGAGCCGGATGTTGGACAAGGGCCGAGGCTAGATATCACTTGGGCAGCGCTCCCGTGCAAAAGTGGTTCAAGCACGGCACAACTTCAGCAGGTCAGGGGCTGGGCTCAGGTCGCAACCACCCTGCCTGGGTGCTTCCAGCACCAGAAGCTCTCCGTGCTGCTCTGGGAGGCTGCGCCAGTCGCGGAAACCGCCCCTTGTGGCTGGTCTTCGAGGGTTTTTTAAGGCTTCGTCTTCGAAGACCGCCCAACAAGAAATCCGTCTAAAAATATGTTTATTTTAAATAGCGGGGGGTTCAGCCGACCACTTAAAAGGGCGAGCGTCTGGTAAAATAAGGGGCCAATTAGTCGTGCACACACCCCACACGCACACATGTCATCCATGACCAGTACACCACTTTTAGAGGACTTACGCCTGCTGAAGCCGTGAGACGTAACCACGCTTGCTAACCTAAGCACTGTCCACTTCCGACTGCAAAAGGAAAGGGAATTCAATGCGACGCTGGGGCCCTCGATGTTCCCTTTTAAGTTCCAGGGCGGTCGCAGGAGGGTTTAGTTAAAGCTGGACAAGCCTCAAAAGGGATGGGGTACCCTTTTTGGGGCTTGGCTTAATGGGAAACCAAAGAGACACCACCCCATTTTTTGGGGTGTCCAACCAATAAAAGACACCCAAATGGGGAATCATGTTTCCTGCTGGGGGGCCCCGGCATCCAATCCCGGACTCGAGAGACAGCGCCAATTGCACCCCCTGAAGAGTTCTTACGACGCTTCGGTCAGGACCTCACTTTCCACTGGTTCCATGGCAGTGGCCGGAGAGTATGTCAGCCGCACGGATGATTTTGAGCGCGCTGCTGAACCTCAATCCTTGGATCTCTGTTACCAAATCGGATGGATTTGGGCCCCCGGGATCCAAAAACCAGGCCCTTGGCTCTTGGCCTCCGATGCCAGGTGGCGGCGCTTTGTGCTGACCCCACTCTGAAGCAGAAGGAGCTGGGTGGTAGGGCCTGGTGATTTGGACACCCCTCTGCCCCCAAACACTCACTTCCGGAGTTCTTGAACTTTCTGCTTTGCGGGTTTGGACGGTTCCAGTGGCAAGCAAGCCGTTTGGAAGTTGTTTTGCCCAACAACGAAAGAGCGGCTGAAGAGTTCTCACCGTTTGGCTCGCGCAGTTGGTTGCGCCAGGTTATGGACCTCATCCCCAAAGAGCTCGAAAGAGTGAGGGACGCCATCAAGGTCCGCTACGGCCGGGGCTCCCGGGGGCGAGGAACGCCGGAGGAGTCGGTGGCGCTTGGGGGGATGGTTTTCTCCTCAACGTGGGGCTGCCATTCGGTATGCATGCCTTTGAACATCTCCCCAGGGACAAGACCCCATTGTACTTGCACCAGGAAAGGGAAATCCTCAGCGTTGGATATGCATCTTCTTTCAAATCACCCCTGCCCCCCTCCCATTCTGGGGACGCAGCTCAAAGCTGGCGCTGGAGGTTTGCCAACACCTGACTAGGGGTCTGAGGTTTGCTTTTGTGAAAACGCTGTGGCGAGCCTGCTTTTTTTCGGCTGCTTGATTTGGTAGACGCCTAGCTTGAATTTGTGTTGCCCTACAGGCACGTGCAGCATTGATTTTTGAGGATACCCTTCATGGGACTTTCCCACAGGAATTTCCGACAAACACCAACAGTTTTGTGATCCACTATTGAACCATTTTCGGGGACCAAGCCTTTTTGTACATGTACAATCATATGCATGTATATGTTTTCGCCTGGCTCACCTTATTTGACTGGCCGTGCAAGGGGGCGAGCAAGCGAGGGACGGCCGACCCAGCCACAGCTTCCGCGGCTCAGGCGAAGATTTGGACGACGCGGAGGCCGTCCCGTGGGAGGGTCTGATGGGTCACGGACCTTTTCACGTAGCACCTTAGGCTGGAAGGTGTATTAAAGTGGCGCAAATCTACACCGGGTTTCCCTGCTTTGCCTTGCTGAAGTGACAACCCGCACCAACAGCGAACTGTTTCCAGGGTCAACTCCTAGCAACCCTTCTTGGAGGAGTGTTTCCTTCTAAGACCAAACTCACTACCCCCAAAACACTACCCCCAAAAGCCCACATTTTGTGCTCCAGCGGACCCTTCAAACTGCTTGATGTTTGCAATTATTTGCCTGCAGCTGCGTGGCCCCTAGAATGGCGAGTCTCGACCAGCACAGTTCTTCAGAATGGCTTAGCCTGGTGCCCGTCTACCTCGTGGCTAAAAGTGGTGAACTTTTGTGGTCGATTGTCCCGGTATTCGAAATGCAATTTTGGGGCTGTTGCCACCCACACCGACTCCGGAACTCCCGCACTATCCGCGCGCTACCGCCCCCAAGTACCCCCAAACTGGGGGTAGTGGTGTGATTCATCTTTTTCACGCGCATACCAGGTGACGTGTGACTACCCCCAAATCGTCCAGTCAAATCCACTACCCCCAAACCGCGCGTTTTGGGACTCAGTACCCCCAAAACCAGGGATGTGGCGGTCCCTCCAACGCGACATGATCAAAGTAGCAAACCAAACTGGCTGCCAAGAAAGCGAAGCTTTGATGTTCGCCTTAAACAAAGATACCGGCGCAAACCAAGCGTTGATGTTCACAAGTTTCAACGTCAAACTGATAGCAGCGGACCCGGATGAAACACATGCCGCAGCTCCAGAATTACCTGGTTTCTGCAGCAGCCAAATATGCACAAATTGAGGCGCCCTCGTATAACCCTTATATAGCCCTTTCCTAACCTTTATATACCCTGTATATATCCATTGGCTTCTGGGGGTAGTGGTTTGGGGGTAGTCGATGTAGTCTTAGATTCCTGTTCCGGGAAGCCAGCAAACCCTTGTGGACATAGAGGTCGTCTTGCGAACTCAAATCGGGGACACTACCTCCTCCGATTGCATGCGAGAGAAGAAGGAGGTTGCAAAAGCAGATCCTTGTCCACCATACCGGCTTCCCTCAGTGATTTCAGATCTACTATAGCACCACACATTCAAGGTTGCTCCTTCCCTTCGTCCCTCAGTGACTCCTGGCCAGCCGATGTCGAACATGTCTGGTCCCCAGATCGCCGCGGCTCTGGCGCGGATCTCCGCCACCACCGTGCTGGATGAGAACTGGATGTGGGACATCACGCCGGGAGCCCCGAGGTGGTGTTGGCAGAAGTTGTTTTTGTTTAGATGTTATTTATTTAGTGATTTATTTATTATTTAGTTGGGAGGGGGGGGAAAACCAGTTTGGTGGCAGCCCTTGCAACATCCCATTACACGCCGTTAACGGTAGTAGATACCCTAAGAGGGGGAGCGGGAGGGAGTGCATTGCCTCGCCCCTCAGCGGCCACTCGGGAACGCTGAGGTGGTGCTCGGGGCGCAACCCAGGTATTGAGCCGGTGAGAGGTCCTTCCGGGAAGGCACGGCGGCCAGTTTACATACGGTGCTCCTGATATGGACTAGGATGCCGCTTAAGAGACGCACTTGGTTTTGAAGATTTTGAGGTTCTGGCAGAACCTCAAGATGCATCGTTTTGGTTGGCCAAACGGCTGAGGCAACATTTGGGGAGACTTTAGGGCATGCGAAAAGGGTGCCAAAAGATAAACTCTGTATTCTTTGCAGGTGTTGCGGACATCCACTTTTCTGGGCTTGACCGGGTGGACATGAAGTGGGGCGGCTTTAGTTATGCTCTGGAAAAGGACCTTCTCGTTTCCAGCTGGCAGGGTAATGGCCCCAAACAAATCACCAAAGAGTTTGGGGACTCTCGCTTAACTCTGCACCCGTACCTTGACAAGTGATTAACTTGATCCCTGTTCTGCCGGGCGGAGGCAACACAAGGGGCTGGTAAGGGTGGAACTTGTCTAAGCCTGTTCAGCACTGTTTCTTGTCTTGGCAGCACTGCGCCGGTGGTTGACACGTGTCATGTTTAGGCAAGCGAAATTCAGCCAGTTCAACTCGAGTAGTTTCTGATTAGGCTATTTGCCACTGTTGAATCACAAATCCTGTTGTGCTATGTAGGGTGAATTCATCATGTCGAGCTTCTTGTTCTTTTTGCCTTGCTCCAAGAGCGACAGCAGCTATGGTCCTAGCCAATCCCGGGATTTGGACTCGCTTGGGGCGGATTCAACAAGGGTTTTGGCGAGGTCTGTTGATGTTGAGGGCTGGGGTAGTTCTTGGCTTTTAAAATTGCAACCTTCGTGCTGGATGAGGAAACTCTTGGGGGAATTTAGGTTTACATTGTTGAAGGGATGCTGGGGATGCTCCTTACAATCCCCTTCAGATCTTAATGTTCATGCCCCCTATGCAGCACCCACTGGCTCGCCTGGTTCGCCTGTCAGGTGCTGCCCGTCCTCGGCTCCTCGATCCTGGTCTGAGTGGAAAAAGCGGCGCGATGGCTCTGAGACCCTTTTTGCAACTTTCTTTGGGTGGGACCCAGCCCAACAAAAAGACGTCCAAAGCGACAGCTCCTTCCAAGCATACATTGCCCCGGAATGTGGGACGTCATGTGGGCGTAGCCCAGTGTAGCCCCCACCCCCCAAGTTGCTTCTCAAAAAGGCGAGCCTGATCCTGTGTGTGTGTTTAAGAGAAATCCGCCATGGAAGTTCCCAGGCTCCTGAACACCATCCAGGGGTGAAAAATGATCCAGAAGGGCAGGCCTTGTGCCAGGTTCACGGGGGTGTTGTCCATCCGCAAAACCCTTCAGTGCCCTGGGAGGGGTTCCGAAAGTGGCCTTCCCTGCTGAAGGAGAGCAAAAACAAACAAAAGCAAACAAACAAACAACAAACAAACAACAAACAAACAAACAAGCAAACAAACTGCTCACCAACCTTGGGTTGACTGCCAGTTAGAACAAATCGTCTACCAACTGGGGCAGGAGTTTGTCCATCCCAAGCGTCTAATGCAATACTGCGGCAGGAAGACGGATCTCCATGAGTTGCTGCGCAACATCCAGGGGTTTGTGATGGCCAGTCAAACTGGGGGTGGGTGTGCTTGACTTGCCTTGGATGGGGCTGACTTTGCAAGACCGAATGTGTGGCATGAGGCATCCTCGCTTGAGTCGCGATCAAAGCTCTTTCACGCTGTTGGACCTCAGCTGCTGTGGCTCTTGCGATGCAGATGAGCCTGGCTTATGAGCGCCATTTGCCCCCGGCGCGGCCCTGAGTTAGTTCGGTCGGCCTATGGTTCATAGAGAACCTGCGGGAATTCACAGAATTCCGGCGAAATGCAGGGGACTCTGGTACATCCATTCTGCCCAGAGAGGGTAGTCATAGCATCTTTTGCTTGTGGCTCGTTTGAATTTGGGGAGCTGATGGGAGATGAAGTCCAAGGGTCGTGGCCACTAGAATCTTTCTCAATTCGTTGTTCATTCATTTGGCCAGTTTTTTTGGCCAGTTCTAAAGGCCACCTTTTGGAGTCCAACTAGTTCTGACACGTGGGCGTGTCTTCGTTTTCCTGTAAACTTCAAGCAAGCTTCAGCTTGTTTGTTGGTTGGCGTCTTCAGGTCGAAGACTCAAGTTGTCCAGATCGCCAACTCACAAGACGGAGCATACTGAATATTGACCGTCGTCTCGGGTCCAAAGCTGGTTGAGCAACCAGGTCGGCCATAGCCAAAACCGGGTAGATGAAGGCTAAGGTACAGTCCCAGCAGTGAATCGTGCTTTGGCGGCCAGTAGGCCCACCGCCTTTACCAGGTACGTCCATTTACTTTTTCCTTAAAAAGTGTTTTGGATCGGTGGTTTGGAGATTGAACACCCTGGTTGTGTTGAGGGTGAATGGGAAGCTACCCCCCCAACTCCAGGTCCTTTCTGGTTGAAAACCAGAGCGCGCTTCCTAGTTTGCCTGGTCCCATCATTTCCAAAAAGGACACCTAGGGAAGGCTGACCTATGCGATTCCGCGGGGCAGTTGAAGCAGAAGAAATCCGAAGGTAGAGCTGGCCAAGACGGCAGGTGCCAGGCCTCCCGCGGGATGTTTTTGTTTTTTTTTGCGGCTGGCGTGGCTGACCTTTTTAGCCCGGAGGTGAGTCACTCCGTGAGGCTTGTTGGGGCAACACAAAGGAACCCGTCAGGGGTGAGACGTTGTTTGTTGGCCTTTGGTTCATGTTTGCAAGGTTGACGTGGCGGGAGGAAGAGGTGGAGCGATATGTAGTCTATTCTTGCAACACGGCTTGCTTTGTTGTTTGTGTTTTTTGGGGGCCGTTGAATCGTTTTGTGGTTGCCAAAAGCAATGTTGTTTGGGGGGAAGGAAGCGTTGAGAACATCGACACGTGAACCATAGTACTAGCCTAGTTTTTGCGAGCTTGTTGTCTCACTTTTAGTCGGTGACAGTAAGCAAACCGAGCAACATTCACATGCCCGGCCTAGTTGCTTGCTCTACCGGAGCCGGCTTGTTTTTGTTTTTCCCCGCATGGGGCAATGCTGCATGGTTTGGGAGAGGGCTGAGCCCCATACTTTCGGCTTTCGCCACTTGAAAAACAGGATGATTTGCGCAGTTTGGCGTGCCAGGCAAACGTGTATGCATGTGAGTCATTCTCCTGGTGCCCTAAGTCTATGATAATCAAGCCCATTTTTCAGGCAGAGGCCACTTAGCTTCAGCTAGGACAAGCCTTGAGGAGGGTCCGACAAGCCATCCGATTTTAGTTGGCACGCATGCGCCTGCGCAGGAATTCACATCTTACATGTTTGATATCTATCTATAACCATGTGTTTGTCATCTTTAATAAACTACAGTAAGAACGTAGACAGCGGTATGGACAGCGTCCTGTGTTTCTTTTTTAGTCGCTTTACGTGGCGCTCGGTATCCGGAGCCAGGTCCCGACGGCGGCTGTCGCGCCATGCCGGGGCCTCTACGAAGACCACTCCGGTTCCTTCAGGGAAAGCCGGGAATCCCCATAGAAGGACGCAAGCACTAGGGTTTGCTTGAGGGGTATTTGGAGATTGTGCAGGTTTCCCGAACAAGAGGTGTCCGGGAGTAAACTTCCAAAGGTGCACACCAACGCAACCTAGAGAGATTCGGCCAGGTTTGTCATTCGGTTTCAGGAGGAGGTGAGCAATGCCTGGCTGAGGTCAGGGCCATGTGGTGGCTGTGCCGGAGCCACTCGGGTCATCGGCAAAGGCGCGGGAAAGTCGGAAAGGGGGGGGGTGCGAGGCTCGGATTGGTTTGGATTTGCTTGGGGTCGATCACAGGTGATTTCCCATTCATGTGGGGGTCTAGGCGGTGTTCGTTCTGGGAATGGCTGGCTTCTCACTAACCATTTGGCAGGGGTTCTATGCTTTGCGCCACCCTACCTGGCGGTCGGGTGTTGGTCTGCTTATTTTTGTGTTGGTGTGTTTTTGGTTTGCTCGTTTGTGTGCTTTTGAAATTTGAGCACTTACCAACAAAATGCCGTGCCCCTTACCAACAAAATGCCGTGCCCCTTACCAACAAAATGCCGTGCCCCTCTTCTTAGGGAAACTTCCAACTGATTGGGTCACTGGGCTGCTTTCTATGGCTCCGCTTAGCGGATCGCCGGAACATATCTGATTCGCGCATTGACTGGTGGCCCTAAAATGGCTATAGGTGATCAGAACCCCATCAAACCCCGGACTCTCCGATGACCAATCTGGCCATATGTTGGATCCCCCCAACTGATTCCACCAACTGTTGCACTCCTTTACCGCCCGCCTCACAAATTTGGAAGAAGGAACTCGAGCCTAGCTTGGGGCATTAAACAAAATGTAGATGTCAGGCTTGAATTTGGCACCTCTGGTTTTATCCTCTTCTGGGCCACAGAGGGCCGGGCCCATCAGCCTACTGATTGTAGCCTGGTGGCTAGGGCCACACATGGCTGCCAGGGCTGCCTTGGCTCTGAATCAGTGCGGGTGTGTCCGACCCACCCCTCCCCCCTTCCCCGAAAAACAAGAAGACGCAGAAGCACAAAGCACAAAACAGGAGCCTCAAAGCCGGTGCCCATAGGCCAGCGGCGCCTTATGACCAAGGGCATCAAGATGGGCAGCTGGGTTGCGGTCTCGTGCCGCGCACCGTTCGTCAGAAGCCAATGAGCTAGGCTTCATCGTCGGGTACCTCTGCCTTTTGGGGGCAGGGCGGTCACTTTGAAAGGCCAAAGGGGGACCGCGCTCATGGGTTTTGCAGATGCCAATTTTTCAGGGGTCAGTACGGGAGACGGGGAAACCAACATATTTTGGATGTTCCCCTAGTTTGAGGGGTGTTGACGCTAGTTGCCATGCTGACGGCTCACTCTGATAGGACGATTTTCCAAAGCCATTCCGCTCTAACTTGCTGAGGATCCCCGCCCGCCGCCCAGCAAAAAAAGCACCGACATTTTGGGACAGACACACCCAAGTCCCCCCCAGCCAGCAGAAGGAACATGACAAAGGTTGCACAGGGGGATCCTTGGAAGACCACGTTTTCCTGAAGTTGCAATAGGCAGATTTGTGCGGATGTGAAAATTAGTGGACGGCGAGGGTTTCTCATTGGTACTACCGTGGTCCTCCTATCGCTTGTCAGTCTCTCCGTTTTGGCCCAAATTGGCCAAATTTGGTGCATTTGCTTCTCCAACGCAGGTACAGGGTGCCCATCAAGCAGGAGATCGATGAGAATGACACGGGCCACTACGAGGGGAAGATTGTGGACAAGCGGATCGGCGGGCAGGAGCTGACGGGCTGACAGCTCACGACCGTTCGGCGAGCGTTCCTAGGGAAACCTCTTGGGTTTCGGTGGCCACTTCATCTTTGGTGCATTTTGCTTGGATGTTAGGACTTTATTTTTTGCCAACTAATGGGTTTTCCATGGACCCACTAAAAGTTAAACTTTTAGCAGAGGAGTCATGTCCATCAAAGTGATAGAGAGCGTCACTTTGGTGTAGAGGGGTTGTGTTCCACCCCTTGGATGGCAATTTGAGAGGCTGGTCTCAAGTCCCATCAGCCAGGGGTGTGGTCTGGAGGACAATGCAAAGCATCTTTGCTTGAGTTCAACAAGTTTTGGGAAGTAATATATGAAGCAGGGCATGGGTCCTTACGTTCAACCAGTTGAGGCGTGATTTGGTTTCCGCTTGGCACCCTGTGGCAACAAACCCAAACCCAACCGCCAAAATTCCCATGTTTACATCAGCACGTCTTCCGTTCCCGGCAGGGGCTGGGACATTGAAGGCGCTGACTGAACAGTGCTGCAGTGGAAGTCCCACCTTCCGCCCCTTCCATTTCCAAGCAAAAGCACAACCCACACAACCGCAGGAAGCTCCTTTTTTTTCACGACCCGATTTTCGAACGGATGTCTGCAGGGGTTCCCAGTTGGGCTGACTCATTTCCACTGCCATGTGCTTGTGTTGTTAGCTGCGCTATCCCCAGAAGGGATAGTCACGGGTTGGTTGGTGGGCTGGTCCATGCGCGAGGACCGGGAGTCATTCATTGAGCTGAAGGATGTTCTGAAGGTCGACATCGATGGGAACGTGATCGGCAAGGAGAAGAACAAGCGGCTCATCGATGCCTTCATCGAAGACTGCAAGGCCAAGCCCCTAACTCGAAGTCGGTGACCTGGATGGGAGTGTGTCTTCGAAGGAACCTTGCCTTATGCCTTAGGCTTGCTTGAAAGGGTCAAAGGAAAGCATCAAAATGTTTGGTGGGTACCCTTATTCTGTCCAAAGATAAAGCATCACAATTTTCTTGCCATTTGTGAACTTCTTTCGGTGATGTTCAAAGGACCTTGTGTGAGGAGCCCCGACACATCCAGGGCACTTGGCCGCTAGGCACGTGGCCTTGCCGGGCCAATGTGCTTCGGTGCGTTGGCTTTTCGGTATGTGCATAAGTGTCAGGAAAGGGGGGCCGAACCATGCCCAGACCTTTTCGCGTTTAGGGAAACGGGGTGAAATTTGTACTAGCCCCGGTTGGTTAGTTGATTGAGTGGTTGGTTGAGTGGTTGGTTGGTTGGTTGGTTGGTTGGTTGGTTGGTTGGTTGGTTGGCTGGTTGGTTGGTTGGTTGGTTGGTTGGTTGGTTGGTTGGAAGGATGGACGGTTGGAAACCAGGGTGACGGGTCAGCGAAGGTTGCCCGGCAATGTCCACTCTCAATGGCGGCAGAGATTCGTCCAGCAAGCCCCTTTTTTTGACACCCTCTGCCTTCTTATCACGAATGGCCCTTCAAAAGCCAAGCCCCCTTTCTTCCCGGGGAGCCCCTGAGCAGCGCTGTACCCGTTCTTCATTTTGTCCCTTATGGATTTGCAGACCGGCCAAAGGCTCTTGGCCATACCTCTGAGTTCTCGTATCTATGTATTTGTGCTTACTTGTTTGTTTGTTTGTTTGTTTGTTTGCTTGCTTGCTTGCTTGTTTGTTTGTTTGTTTGTTTGTTTCCACTTATTTGTTTATTTGCGTGTTTTGGTCCGTCTGTTTATTTGTTTGGCTTGTTTCTTCGGGTCCGGATACGTCGACGTTGGTCGCCTCGCGCCAGGTGATCGAAAAGAGGGCGGAGAGTTGGGATGAGATCAAGCTCTCCCACGAAGCGGTGCGCCCGCCCGAAGCGACGCGTTCGTTTCGAGTTGGGATCCTGGGGTTGTTGGAAGAGGGGGCAGAGGTCGTCGGGGCTCTTCCAAAAAGATATATGCATTTATATATATATATATATTTGTATATTTGTATGGTACCCCCCCCCCATGGACCCTGGCTTGGTGCGCTTGAGCTGCATATATGGCTGTGGGGCAAAACCAATGGGACCCCATTTTGCGTTAGGTGCACCACCCAGTTTCAGTTAGAACCTATTTTGGTGGGGATTGGGATGTTGACTTGGGTCACGGGATTTTGACCCACGGCGATGTATATACATATATATATATATACACTATACATACATATTTATTTGAGTGCCTCCCGGTTTCCTCCAAAAGCATTTTTGTATTCGCTTGGGTCCTGCAAGAAAGGATCTCCTCCAAGACTGTTGGAATATGGAGCAGAGTCAAAGAATGATCTGCGTACCCCAGGTGTGGGCCAAGTAACTAAGTAAGGCGGGTATAATTTCATACAACTTCTACCCACCACCTGTCCAGCTGGATGTTCAAGGTGCAATTGGTGTTTAAAAGTTGCATAGTGCATGCGTTGAAGATATGCTATCAGTTTGAAGTTTCAAAGGTGTTGCTTGCGTTCTTGACCAGCTGCTGTGAGGGTAAGGAACAACGCGCCCTGGGACCGGAGTTAAAGCGGTAGAAAGTCGAGAGGTGTTATCTGGGGCCTACAGTTTTGAGCCAACGGGCCACAAAGCTTGCATCCGGCCTTCAGGGAAAGCCCCCTCGAACAAGACGTTAATTATTCAAGGTGGCATCGTTTTGCCGGAGGATGACGGAAGGATTTGGTGCCCTGCACGGTAAGCATTCCTGTCTGGGTTTGCACCTAAGGGTGCGGCGTTTTTTAGGGTCAACTGTTTGGGGTTGGTTTGAAATGAATCCACAAGAACTATCACTCCGTCTGGATACGTTTCCATATGTCTAGTGCACTTGTCACAGCGATTGGAGGGCTGCCAACTGGGCCGTGTTGATTGCTTGGTGGGTTGATTGTGGATTGGATTGGTAGCCTTTCTGTTTGTCAGTTTGTTTGTTTGGTTGGTTGGTTGTATTATTGCGTGTGACGTATTCGAGATGTCGGGATCATATCGCACACTCCCCCGAATGGACGAATTGTCCCTCTGTTGCAGATTCCCTTGCAATTATCGAGGGGGTATTCGGTATCCAGCTTCAAATCGCGGTCAGAGAAGTGACAGTCTTCGGGTGACAGCCTTCAGGCAGCAGCAGCAGCAACAGCAGCAGCAGCAACAGCAGTGAGTTTGAGACAGTTCAGCCCGGATCAAACACGAAACAACTTGCTCAGCTATCGGCTACCAAGCAGAGAGCTTGCAGCTTATGCCCCTACACAAAGAGAGAAGGATAAGTCCATGTGGAGAAATACGGAGGTTTCTGCCGAAACGTGAAGGGGAGGGTTTTCTCTTAAATGCCCCCCCCCCCCTTCTAGGGGTTTGTGACTCCTGGATTCCCATTGGGCTCCATGGCTCCCGCCAGGAGGTGGAAGCAAGATTCAGGGCAGCCAGAAAAGAGGCCCTTCCCGGCGTTTGGTTTGGGGATGTTTGGGAGGGGTGAGACGATCCTTTCCGTATCTCTGATTTTCCGTGGAGGGTTCCCCTGAATCATCGGAACCCCCCCCCCCCCGGAACAAGAAGCTGATGCCTTTTTTTGAAGGGTTGCAGGTAGAAAGTTCTCAGCTTTCCGGACCTGAGCGGAAACCACCGGATCCCTTTTGGCCATGGCGTTTTCGACCGTCTATCCCATGGTTTCGGATTGTGCCAGGGCGAGATGGTACAACGAGCTGACCGCCATATCCCGGGGGAGGTGATTCCCTATAAAAGTTTGCGGGTAGCAAAATGTTGGCCAACCATAGGTGTCCTTTTTGGTTGTTTTGGTAGAACAAATAAGTGGCCCTGGTTTACCTGGTGGTTTAATCATCTTCCAGGGGCATCTATTTCCCCTAAAAGGACACCTATGGTTGGCCTGATTTTTTGCGAGCCTGGCGCCGCGCAGTTTGTCGCAGGCCGGGGAGGATGAGGAGTCTGGCTCTGGGATGATGGGCATGATGCCCGGCATGATGATGATGCAGAACATGATGCAAGGCACCGCGGCTTTTGGCCGCTGCGCAAGAGAAGTTGAACCCGGAAGCAGACTTCCTGGCAGATGTGAACCCAGGAAAACCATCGAGTTTGGAGGAAGAATTAATTCTGGGAGATCTTCTTTTTGAGTTTCATGGTTTGCAGTGGTGAGCCATGGTTGCTTCGCTTGGTTACTTAGGCCCAAATTCGGAATTTGGGGTCCCGTACGGATGGGTGGCTATGTTGCATTGAGCAAAAAAAAGCAGAGCCATCTCAAGAAGATGGGTGCAAAGTATGGAAGTCGGCCCCATCACAGCCTGGCCTTGGATGCATCAATCCGGGGTTTCCGCTCAGAGGTTGTTTGTTTTGCGGTGTTCACTTCGCCAATGCAAGTTGCACGTTAGGATCTGCATTTTTAGCATCCCAGTGACTGGCACGGAGCGGGTGAACATGATTGCGGAAATGCACCGTGCTGATGCAAGTGAGGCAATGCAGAAGAAACAAGTGCTCAGACAGTTTGATCCTGAGCCTTCTGTATGCCAATGTTGGTCCACCATTGTAGGTGCAGCATTCGACACCTTGTCCCAGCCTGTTTACGCCCCAGGCGTTGCAGGCATGATTACATGCAGTTGTAGAGTAGTAGTTGCTCATTTTGTAGGTGATGTTCACATGCAATTGTGCACGCAACGCTCCCTGCTAGGCATGATGGCTGCGAGCATGATGCAGAATGCCATGATGCAAGGCAAGCCGGGCTGTCCAGGCGGCAGCTGTGGCAGCTGCGGCTGCGCGGGCTGTGGGTGTCCAGGTTGTCCAGGAAGCCCAGGGGCATGTGGTGGATGCGGGTGCGGATGCCCCGGTGGTTGCCCCGGAAGCTGCAGCTGTCCAGGCTGTGGCAGCTGTGGCTGTGGCGGCTGTGGCTGTGGCGGTGGCTGTGGCGGTGGTTGCGGCGGTGGCTGTGGCGGTGGTTGCGGCGGTGGCTGTGGCTGTCCAGGTGGCTGTGGCTGTGGCTGCCCAGGTTGCGGGGGTTGTCCAGGCTGCGGCTGTGGTTGCGGAGGTTGCCCTGGCTGTGGCTGTGGCTGCTGCCCCGGAGGCTGCGGCTGTGGCGGCTGTGGCTGCGGCGGCTGTGGTTGCCCGGCAGGCTGTGGCTGTGGGGGCTGCGGTTGCGGCTGCGGGGGCTGCGGTTGTGGGGGCTGTGGCTGCGGGGGCTGCGGGGGCTGTGGTTGTGGCCCAGGATGCTGTCCAGGCTGTGGCTGTGGCTGTGGCTGTCCTGGTTGTTGTGGCTGCGGGTGCGGCGGCTGCGGTGGATGCTGCGGCGGCTGCGGCTGTCCTGGCTGCGGCTGCGGGGGTTGCGGCTGTGGATGTAGTGGTCCCGCCGGGAACGCCATGGGGTGCGGTAACAGCGGCAGCATGGGCAGCCCTAGCCGTGCAGCAAGTGGCCCCAGCAAGGGCCGAAGCAGAAGCCGCAGCCGAAGCAGAGGTAAGGAGCCAAAGGAGCCAAAGCAGCCAAAGGAGCCAAAGGAGCCAAAGGAGGAAAAGGAGGCAGAGAAGGAGAATGAAGACAAAGAGGCTGATGAGTAACCCTCCCGTTGGCTGTTAAAAGACAGCTCTTTTTCACGGTAAGCCCTAGAGACTCGAGGATTTGATTGCATGCGCGCGAGAAAATCGACTTGTAGCAAACTGACCTGCCATGGATGCTGTCAACCATTATTGCTGCTGGCGTCGCATCATTTGACTGTTGATGGAAGGGGCTGCTTGCTTGCTACGCCTTAGCTTTTGGCGAGTTCCACAGTGGACAGGCAAGCGGCGTATTCGTCATACCCTGGCATGCCGCTTCCCACACTGATTGCCGATGGCTCCAGGTTTCACCAGTGGCGAACTTGAAACCGGCTTTGTCGTACATCTTATGGGGATTTGTCCAGGACTGGTGACCGCGTGATTTGGTGAACCCTTTTTTTGTAGGGAGCTTGCCCACATTTCACAAGGACCGGTGTGAGCGAGTCGAGCGCGAGTCGAGAGCGAGTCGCCGGGAATCGATGCTGGAAGCAAGCAGCACACTCAAAGGTCCTTATTCCTTTTCTGGGGTGATTGGAACGTCACCTTTTGGGCCATTGCGACAGTTTCCTTTTGTGCTGTTCAAAGAGGACAGGCAAAGAACTCTGCCACAACAAGTGCACCTTGCGTTTTGGAGGTGTAGACCAAAACATGAACATATATATATATATATATATACTCATACATATGTACACACACACACCCACACCCACACCCACACCCACACACACACACACCCACACCCACACACACCCACCCACACACACACACACCCACACACACACACACACCCACACACCCACACACCCACGCACCCACACACCCACACACCCACACACCCACACACCCACACACCCACAGCCCCCACACACACACACACACGCACGCACGCACGCACGCACGCACGACGCACGCACCCCCACACACACACACACACACACACACACACACACACACACACACACACACACACACACACACACACACACACACACACACACACACACACACACACACACACACACACACACACACACACACACACACACACACACACACACACACACACACACACACACACACACACACACACACACACACACGCGCAGCCACGCGCGCGCGCGCGCGCGCACGCACGCACGCAGGCACGCACGCACGCACGCATGCATGCATGCATGCATGCACGCCCGCGCGCGCGCACGCGCACGCGCACGCGCACGCACACGCACACGCACACGCACACACACACACACACACACACACACCCACGCGCGCGCGCGCACGCACGCACGCACGCACGCACGCACGCATGCATCATGCATGCATGCGTGCCCAGCCAGCCCAGCATAGCAGCGCTGCACCAGCACTTGGCCCAGCAGATTGCACGCGCCGCGCAGCACGCCCACGCCACGCCCACGCGCACGCACACGCACACGCACACGCACACGCACACGCACGCGCACGGCGCACGCGCACGCGCTGCGCACGCGCGCACGGCGCGCGCGCGCGCCTTGACGCGCGCACACGCACACGCACCCGCACACGCTGCGCACACGCACCCGCCCGCACACACACACACACACTCACACTCACACACACACACACGCACGCACGCACACGCACAACATGCACGCACGCACGCACGCACGCACGCACGCACGCACCCGCATGCGCACGCACGCACAACGACGCGCACGCACGCACGCACGCACGCACGCACGCACGCGCACGCACGCACGCACGCACGCACGCACGCACGCGCACGCGCGCGCGCGCGCGCGCGCGCGCGCATGCGCGCCCGCCACCACCGCCGCCCGCCGCCGCCGCCGCCGCCGCCCGCCGCCCCGCCCGCCACCGCCGCCGCCGCCGCCGCCGCCCCGCCGCCGCCGCCGCCGCCACGCCACGCCCGCCCTTGCCGCCGCCGCCCGCCGCCGCCCGCCCGCCGCCCGCCGCCGCCGCCGCCGCCGCCACGCCATGCCACCGCCGCCGCCGCCGCCCGCCCGCCGCCCACGCCACCCGCCGCCCGCCGCCGCCACCGCCACCCGCCGCTGCCGCCGCCGCCCGCCCGCCACGCCGCCCGCCGCCCCGCCGCCACTGCCCGCCCCGCCCGCCGCCGCCGCCGCCCGCCGCCGCCACGCCGCCGCCGCCGCCACCGCCGCCACCGCCACCGCCACTGCCACCACGCCACCGCCCGCCGCCACCCACGCCACCCCCCCCCCCCACGCACAAGCCACGTGACAGCCTATCATCGACGCCCATGTGCTCCCACTGCGCATAACCAACATCGCGCACGCACGCCCGCGCATGCGCACGCGCGCAACGCAACGCGTGTAGTAGTACGTAGTACGCCCAGCCGCGCCACTATCATGCCCATGCCCAGCACTGTAGCCATATAGCCCATATGACATCTGACCTTGTGACATCTAACACTGCCTTTCGCGCACTGCGCACACGCACACGCGCACACACACACACACACACACACACACACACACACACACACACACACACACACACACACACACACACACACACACACACACACACACACACACACACACACACACACACACACACACACACACACACACACACACACACACACACACACACACACACACACACACACACACACACACACACACACACACACACACACACACACACACACACACACACACACACACACACACACACACACACACACACACACACACACACACACACACACACACACACACACACACACACACACACACACACACACACACACACACACACACACACACACACACACACACACACACACACACACACACACACACATTATTACACATTATTACACATTATTACACATTATTACACATTATTACACTATACACATTATTACATCATGTATATGTGATATTGTAATCTCACATATTTATTTATATACACATACGTATTCGCAAGCGGGCACGCAGACAACGTAGCCCCCGCGCAGGAGCGATCAAACGATGGGCTGCAGGGCGCCCCAGGCGCAGGTCCAACCCATCCTCACCCCAAGGTTTCTCTGACAGATCTTTAATCAGGGCTCCTTCAAAGATACCTTTTGCCCATTTGGAACATGCTTTTTTCGCCAAAATACAGGGACACCACCATTTACAAGGCAATGTTCAGGTGTATAGTATAAGGATCCCTGTTAATGGTTGACTTCAGAGGAACAACCTCCCGTTTTTTTTGTTTTTTTTTGTTATGGGGAATATGGGGGTGTGCCGGGGTGAGTATTTTAATTGGGGGGTGTCCCTGGGTTTAGTGGGGAATCAATACTTTTGGAGGGGAACGCCCCCGTATTAACACACTGGGGTTCATTCATCCGGGGTCAACATTAGCTCCCACCCACACTGCCAAGAAACCATTGGGCTCTCAGCTCTCGAAGATCTTCCAGCCTTCCAATTGACACTGGGAACAATCAACCTTTGTTTGTATTTCATACGTTCGATTTTTGAAACATGAGCCTCACCGTAAGCACAAACAAGTAAACCCCACATGCCCTTTCGTGCGTGCCCGGCCAGATGAACGCTGCATCCGTTTTTTGATCCTTCCATACCACCCCAAATGCACACCAACTCTCGAAACAGCTTTTCAAGGATACGCCTTGTCGCCCCTCCAGGCCAGCCAGGTGAGCCAATCAAATACCAAGCAAAAGAGCCCCCAAAAGGGTCCCCCTTTCACCTGGAGTTTTTTTCATTTTTTTAAAGCAACAACAGGAGAAGATGAGCTCACACCGAGAAAAACAAATGGGCCCTGAGGTGTAAGCTGAGTGGCCAGTAATCTCCCGTGGGTTTTTCCGAGGCTGCGACAGCAAACCGGAGATTAACAGCCCAACCGCCGGGGAGCTGAGCGTGTCCTAACTGGGGGGCACAGTGGAGCTGTTGTGGGCAGTGTGGTAGGTCCACGAGTGATACCAACTAAAATAGACACAGACAAAAGGGTACCCTCATTGTAACCTCTCAACTGGAGGACCTGGAAAAGAACCCGCATTCAAAGTGACAAAGTCAGAATGACCACCAGAAAGGGAGCCGTGCAAATGAGAGACAACTTGCGGATCATCCACCCTGAAATTGCTGGAGCTTAATGCGGGGAATCAAGTGTTACGAACCCCCAAGACACACTCGGGGTTTGAACAACGACCCAGGCTCAACTGGGTTCTACTTTCCCCAGCGCGTGGGATTCGCATGGTTTAGGAAACATCTGCGATTGCCAGATTGCCAGACGTCCCTCCCAGCGCTTTTTCGGCAGCTCTTGGGAACATGAGAAGCAGCGCCATGGGCCGGATCCGGTCCCTTCGCTTGCCCGCGCAAGCAAACCCCGAAACGCCGGATCCGGATCCGGAGCGGGCGACCCGAGCCTCCGAGGCCTCGACGTCAATCACGAACAGAAGTCACGTTGAGATCGAGGACCAGGGCCCTGAAAACGCAAAAGGAGTCGGCGCAACAGCCTGAGGCAAGCGAAGAGGTACGCATCAGCTGGTGCTCTTTTTGCAGGTTTTTGTTTTGCATTTCAGGATGTGTTTTGTTTGTCTTTCATTCCCTGCTGGTTTTAAAGGGAATATATCACTACGGAAATCTGTTTTTTCCAGTGGGCTTAAGCAAGTGGAGGTTCATCATGTTCCAGACCTGAAGCCATCCGACCAGGCCCAACATGCTGCTTTATGCGTATTGAGTCGCGCTGCTTCCCTGATTGCCCTTGGGCCAACTTCCCTTCAAACATGTATCTCCCCTCTTCGGGGCGCCCCCATCAGCTCCCATACTCTGCAAGCACGGTGCGGCGTTGGGAAGGGAGAGCTTCCACCAGCGTTGAGGGGGTTTCTCCCACCAGTTTCTCCCAAAAGGTCAAGCGCGGATTGCCACCGCCTTGAAATTCTGGCCGTCCATCGTCCCCTTGGTAAAACCTGATGGCCAGTTTGCCGGTGAACTAGCGACCGTTGTCCCAAGCCCTCAAGGTAGGACGTCCGTGGTCCCTTTGCGAGCGACAGGAGCATCATGCAGAGCAGGCCTGGTGTGGTCGCAAGCGGCGCAGCAAATCGCAAGGCGCGAGCCTCGAAGCCCCGCGAGGACTCGCGGGG